CATGTTATGAACTCCAAAGGGCTTGGTGGCTGTACCCCTACAACATTGTCATGGTCATAGCCTCCACAGGTTCTCTGTTGGGCCAGTTCTGCTTCCTCTTTGCAGTTTCCCTCAGTTTATCCATATGTCTGTCTTCTCCAAACTTCTGGGTTCCCCACTGCATCTTTGGCTTCACATTCACAGCTTTACAGACAGCCCTCTCATGGGCACACTGCCTGGTTCCCCTGGCCTTCTTCTAAAATCTGGGTGGAAGCCTTCCTGAGTCATAGCTCTGCCATTCTGCATCTGCCTAAAACCACTCTGTGGATAACTCAAGGTTTGTTACCAGTAGCTGGGCTTCCTTCACTCTTGGCTGTAAGGGCTCCAGTGTCTGTGAACTAAACCCCAAAGAACAACATCTTCAGGCCCATGCCATTTGGAAGTTAGTGCTCTGGGGCTCTCTTCTCAGAGCAAAGTCTTTCACTTTTACAATTTTGAGGCTATAGAGGATAGAGTCCTACTGCTGCTTGGGATGCCTTCAGACCATCTTTCCTATACTTCTGTTTCTTCTCAGCAGTGAACATCTCCTGCTCTGTCTTTGCAGTCCATAGCCTTACTGAAACTGTCTTCCCGGTCAAATGCAAAACATTTTAAGTCATTCTGCTGGGCTCTTTGCTCTTGATTTTCAACATGAATTTGGCTAAATGCTCTCAACAGCCATGCCACCACCTCAACATTAAGATTTTTTCTGCCAGATTAATTAAGTCTAGCATCCCAAATCTCAGTCTCAGGCAAAGTTTATGGACAGGATCAAAATGCAGGCAGATTTTCTGCAAAGGTATTTATTTGGAATGCAACATATGTGGTCCTTTTTCTCAGCAGAAACCTAAGCCTGGTCTCTGCCAGCAGAATTTCTTCATTTTTACATTTATTTATTGGATACAGGATCTCACTACACAGCTCAGATTTGAGTGATCATCCTGTTTCAGCCTCCCCATCACTGGGATTATAGCCGTGTGCCACCACGCTGTTTTGGGGCCGGCCCAGCATGCAGTACTGGGGATTGAACCTTGGTCCTTGTGCTCACCAGGAGGGTGCTTAGGCTGCTGAGCTATCTCACCAGCCCCTACCAGCAGGATTTCTATCAGCACTGTAGACTTCTGAGCTCTGACCAAAATCTCCCATTAAGTATAGTCTCAGAAATTCTAGCTCTACTTTTTTAGCTGGTATCTCCAAACCTTTCCAAACTTTTTGCCTTCTCACAAACCAGCTCCAAAGGCTCCTAAACCACATGGTCAGATACAGTCACAAAAGTGATTCCACTTCTCTGGTACCAAATTCTTTTCTCATTGCTGAGAGCTCTTCTATCCCTAATACCAACCCAGCTGTTTCTATCCTTAATATCTTATCCACACTAAGATATCCTAATATCTTATCTTATGGAAGGTAGCACTCATATATTAGTCCTAGTGCTCTTGATCCTAGCATTGCACCATGAATCAGTTCCAGCGTCACACACTGTGGACCCACCCACTTCTGAAAAGGCCCCACCTATGATAACATTTGGGCAAACATCTACACACAAGCCATAACAGGTCCATACTGCATCTCACTTCAGCATGTTTACTTTTATGCAGGAATAGGGCAGCAAGTACAGTCAGCCCTCAGCATCTGTGAGTTCCTCATCTGTACAGACTTTTCTTGTCATCCTTCTCTAAACCATGTGGCCAAGCTTCATCTGGCTCTAGACAACTAGTAATGCAGCCCCATGACATTGTAAATGTGTAGTGGTCTGTGGTATTCACCAGTATTTTTCATGGATTGATTGCACGGTGCTCCAGTGAGGACTACACAGTGAACAGTACAGCTCTGCAGGGGGAGGTGCAGTGCAGCACTCACTTCTCCTGCACCTGCACCTACACAGTCCAGCCGAAACCAGCATGGTCAGAGGTCACATTCCTGTGCAACTTGGGGAGTAAAGCAGGGTTACAGAGGATAGTATTTCAGCCTTTCTATATGAGTGTGTGCCTGCAAAGTTGGGCCTCTGTTTTTTAGTGGGCATCCAGTTCTTGTTTAATTATTAAGTTAGACTTTTTATTTCATCAGATTAGTGCACTAAAATACAAAAAGCAAAAACATACAAAAAGGTAGGTTTTTTACTTACATCCGTTAACTGTATTATATGTTCTATAGTCAACTCAAGACCATTCCTGTTCATTCAAGGCAACCCAAAACCTCTTAAGTAATATAGAACAACTATGATACTTACGAAACATTTGAGTTGTATTGTATATGATAAATCGTGTAGAGGTGTTTGTAGATTATGTACATATACTATCCCTTGTTATTTTATAAGAGATTGGAGCATCAGGCATAGGAGATAGCTCAGTGTAGGTCCTGAGTTTGATCCCTAATACCACCAAAAAAAAAACAAAAACAAAAAACCAGAGACAGGGAGAGATTGGAGCATCTATAGATTTTGGTATCCATGAGATCATGAAATCCACAGATACAACGGGAAGATAGTGTTGGTATTATAAGTTCCAAATTTGCTCCTTACTATTTTTAAGATCTCAGCAAAGCCATTTAGTCTCCCTGGGTCCAAATCCCTTGTCTCTGTGTTAGAGAGGACACCTGCCTTTCTTCCCTTACATGCTGTTGAAAGAATTTAATAAGGACAAATGTTGAGAAACTCTCATTGCTGGGTTTTCCTTCTCTTTATGCATGTCGGGGCAAGCAGTGGCAGCTCTCTGATTTTTTTCTATCATCATGTAAGTTTATCCATACAGCCCTAATCTTCCAGCCTACTTGCTTACTTGGGCATATTGAATTACTAGTTTCAGTTCTGTTTGGAACAGCTTCTGTCCAACTGGTAGTGATTATCTGATGAACCAAAGGTACTGAGGTGATTTAATTTATTCAACACTTTATCGGGCAGCTGCTACATGCTGGGTACTGTTCTGTGTGCTGAAGTTGTAGCACTTAATAAAAATCATTCCTTTTTCTACCACCACAGAGCATGTAACCCTGAATGTAAGGCAGGTATTTCTTTAAATACATGTGTATGTAGAAGTACAGCTGTGATCTAAGAATTGTATAATACTGTGATGGGGGGTAATTAAGTAGGAAGTCTTTTTAAAGGTATTTTGAGACGATGATTGGACTAAGAGGAAGAAAGAACGTTCCAAGATCTGGGAACAGTGCAAAGCTAGAAGCAGTATGTTGTGTATGAGGGGATGAAAAGGCCGTTGTTGGCAGAACAGCGAGGAGGAGGAAGACAGCCAGGGCCGGTAAGGCATACAGGGCCTTAGGCCATGTGAAGGAGGCTGTGTTCCTAACTGGAAATCACTCTAGTGTTTGAGCCGGGAATTTGACATGAACATGTGCAAATTAAATCCTCTAGTACGTGTTAGGGGGCTTTTTTTAAAACTAGCCTTATTTTTAGGAACTTTGAATAAAAGCTGTTCTTTTTTTCTTTTTGTATTTTAGTGAGGGTCTGCAGGGTATGCAGGGTCTCACTAAGTAGATAGGACTCATAGTGATACGCCTGTGTTCAGCCTTCCAAGAGCTGGGATTACAGGTGTACCCCACCATGCCCAGTCTCAGTTGCCCTCTCAGCGCACCCTGGGGGCGGGGCTGGCACAGTATGCCAGGGATTGAACTCCGGCCACTGTGCTCTGCCTTAGCAGAGGCTTTAATCCACTGAGCTATTGGCCAGTCCAAAAGCTATTCTTGTAATTAAAATCTATTGTAACATTTTTGTTAGAAAGAGAATTGCTTTGAGACTTGATTCTTCATGAGTTGGTAGGTGTTCATTGATTGGCAGTAAACAGGTTCTATCCAGATCAGTAACCTAACTTTTCTATGGATTCTGCTGGCTTAAAAACATTTCTTTGGCTGAGTTTTAGATCTTGAACTTCACAGTTTAGTAATGACTAAGCTTTAAATAAATGATAATTCTTCTCAAAAGCACAAAGCACATCACAACTTTGTGCTGATTTCTTACATTTATTTTCCTTATCTTTTTTTCCCTTTTTTTCTTTTCTTTTTTTCTTCTTTCTTTCTTTTTTTTGGTTTTCTTGAGAGAGTCTTGCTATGCAGTTCAGGTTGGCCTTGAGCTCACCTTGTAGTCCAGGCTGGTCTCAAATTCACAAGGATCCTCCTGCTTCAGCCTCATGAGTACTGGGATTACAGGCGAGCACCACCATGCCCAGCATATCTCCCTTATCTTTCTTTTGAACTCAGACTTTGCTTTAGTTTTACTGAGTTATAATTTGAATGCGGGGCCAGGGAAATAGCTCAGTGGACTAAGTATCTACTTAGGCAAGTGCAGGGACTGGGTTCAATCCCTGGCACCACATGCTGCGCTGGCTCTGCCCCCAGATGTGTTGAGCTGACTACCGAGACCTGGTGTGGTAGCACATGCCTATAATCCCAGTGCTGGGGAGGCTGAAAACAGGAGGATCACTACGAGTCAGGTGCATAGTGAGACCGTGTACCAGATGCATCAGCAGCAGCAGCATTATCACTTGAATGCAGAAGGGAAATTAACTTTGCTTTGTGAAAGTTACTTTAAAATCAATAAAATTGAGTGCTGAGTTTCATCCCTGCAGGAGGAAGAATATCTTAATAAGACAAAAATACTCCACTAGGTAATACTCTAAGGGAAAAGATACAGTTTATTTCTTTTCCAGAATGCCTTTCTACAAGTAAATAACAACAGGCAGAATAGCAGAGCACAGAGTACAGGTGTGGGTTGGCTTCTCTGATTGAGTCAGCTCATTCCCCAGAGCTCTTTCTGCCTCCATTTCTATACATGGGTATGGAGACCTGAGCCCCATTTTGGTTACTGCTGTGATGACTTCGGTGACCGGTGCCTGGGCAGCAGTCCCTGAATGCTCCTTCTTACTGTCATCATTATTGTCATCATCAAATCATGGGCTCTTTCTGTGTTGCTTAGTGAGTCTGACATGTGTGGCAGGCATAGCTGGAGCTTACATGTTTTGGTTTTTTTTTTAAAGGAGAAATTGTTGTAAATGAAGTCAACTTTGTGAGAAAATTCATTGCAACAGACACAAGCCAGTATGATTTGTGGGGAAAGCTGGTATGCAGTAACTTCAAAATCTCTTTTATTACTGATGACCCAATGCCATTACAGGTGTGTTTTATTTGTATACTCTAAGCACTATAAGCACATGTTGTTACATAAATCACAGGTAAGGAAATGCTATAATGAATTTATCAATAAATGATTAATGTTTGGATTGTATTCTATTAAAATTCAAAATAAAACTAAGAATGTTAAGATTTGAGGAATACAATTAGGGAGAGTTTTGTTCATCCTTTATGATCATTGGTTATTAAGCCTGGAAGAGATTTCTTAGCTTTCAAAGCTTTTAACTTGTTTAAAGTTGAAATCTTTTTTTTTTTTTTTGTGCAGTGTCTCACTATATAGCTCACACTCATAGTGATCCTCCTCTTTTTAGCCTCCCCTGCCCTAGGATTACAGGCATGTGCCACCACATCTGGACTTAGTAGCTAGCTCAGTGCTCCTGGCGGCAGGGCTGGGGCCGACGCTGCATGTTGTGCCAGGGATTGAATCCCAGTCCCTATGCTAGCCTAAGCAGGCGCTTACTCCACTGAGCTATCTTGCTGGCCCCTTAACTTGTTTATAAAAGTAAAGATACTCTTTTTCCATAGTCATAATGAAAAATTTAGTCTTTGCACTGGATTAACTAATACTCAACTTATAACATCCAGCCAAGCTGAATCAGCATGATTCTGGGGTAGATGGCCATGCGGGTTGTTGCCTGTACATAAAAGCAGAACTGAAGGGAAGATGTTGTCCTGTCGATCCTCAGGAGAAGACTGTCCTGCTGGCTTTTATGATCTTGATTGTTATTGTCCACGGATGACCTCAGATCTTCACTGTTGCTGAGGATAGCTGTGGTTTTTTTTTTCAGGGGTGCTCTGGTCCTTACTTTGAGCATTGCTTCCTAGCTCCAATGCACATCCCTCACCGTGCTAGCACAGATCCTTCATCCCACTGGCACAGACCTTTTAGCTTCCACCACTGGCCTTTGGGCCTTCGCAGTGCAGATCTTTGGTACAGACTGGCATGAGACATTATCATGGGCTCCAGGCCTCTAGCTGGACTTGTGCAGGACACTGCCATGGGTCCAGGCCCTCAGCTGGATACTTTGTATCTCTAGTGTATGGACAGATCTCCTGCATTTTTTTACATTTGATTCTTTGGGCGAATATTATAAAAGAATCCTCCTGGTGTGCCCTGCTAGCCACACCCATGGGGCATGCTGAGACAGTGATTGAGACTGGGTCCCTGTAATCCTAGCACTTGGGAGGCTGAAAACAAGAGAATCACTTCTCGTCTGATTTATGTAGTGAGACCCTGTAGACCCTGTCCTAAATACAGAACAAAGTAAAAATAAAAAACGTCCTATAAATTGTGACACGTCCTGTAGTAAATCTTTTCCCTTGCAAACGCTTAGTACAGCAGCCACTTAGCAAATAATCATATAAATACTATTTTATTGATTTCATAAGTTTCTTTTAGCTACTTAGTTCTTTTCCCCAGAATTCAAATTAAAAATAAGTTTTGTATTGTCACTGAGGTTATTGAGAAAAGAATTAATGTGAACATAATTTTTTATTTCAGAAATTCCATTACAGAAACCTTCTTCTTGGAGAACATGATGTTCCTTTAACTTGTATTGAGCAAATTGTCACAGGTATGTAATATTTAGCACTTACTGTCTCCTAAGAGTTATAGCTGAGCGAGGTGAAACCTGCCTGTAGACAGCCACTCTGGGGGCTAAGACGGGAGGAGCATTTGATGCCAAGAGTTCTTTCAGGACAACCAAATATGATGAGACCTTGTATTTTTTTTTTTTTTAAAGGTCTTTAAAGTTGATTTTGTTATAGAAGTCTTCCTTGAAGAGTCCTACTGTCAAATTGCTTGAGTTGAAATTTTATTTCTGTCTGCAAATGGAAGAGAAGTCAATAGATGATTCTAAAATGGAGATATAGAATGTATAGCTTTTTGTCCTCTTTTTATATTAAAATTTTAATCATTAGACATATCTAGTTATTGGTGATTCTATTAAATACCTTTAAAATACCTTGAGAAACAAAGTTAGCATTCATTCCCTTGAAGTTCTAACACTTACAGATATGAAGATTTCACATAAGCATTGCTCAAGTGATAGGTGACTTTCCAATTCTTTTCATAAAACTGTGTTATAGTTTTATAAGGAATGAGTAACAAGAAAGATTTTGACATCTTTTCTTTTTTCTTTTTAGTAAATGACCACAAAAGAAAACAGAAAGTTCTAGGTCCCAACCAGAAACTGAAATTTAATCCAACAGTGTTAATTATTTACTGTAAAGATTTCAGAATTGTCAGATTTCGCTTTGATGAATCAGGTCCTGAAAGTGCGAAAAAGGTAATACTATTTTTTATCAAGTTCTGGCTTCTGCCCTGTGTTTACCAATTTCATGTCTTTGTGGAACTTTTTAATTCTTGATTACTCACATTTTTTAGGGACACCTATAATTAGCTACTTAAGTAAAGTCAAAGCCAAGAATATTAATGGAGCTGTTTTCTGCTATAGGTTTATAGCTATTTTGCAGTATTCTATATAATCTTTTATCAACTCCTAAAATATTAGACGTCTGTGTCTACCAAATATGAAGTTTAGCATATCTTTTATATTAGAATCACTACCCCGTAGTTTCTGTCTTGCAGGTTGAAATGTTGGAGATGTACCGTAATTGAGGTTAGTGAGGCTTCTGGCTCAATTCGGCAGAACCTCATCAACAAGCTTCAAACCACCTGTAGGTTGCATGAGGTTTAGGAAATAGGTAGTTATAGGAAGGACCTCATAGTGGTTTAAGGAAATCTTGATGAATTAATTGGAGTGATACTTGACAGGGGCAGCTCAAAGCTAGGAACTTTTTAATTTTTAGTTATTTATTTTTTGGGTGGTACCAGAGATCGAACTCAGGACCTTGTGCTTACCAGACAAACACTTACTCCACTGAGCTATCTCCCTGGCCAAGGAACTTTTTAATTTCTTTTTTTTTTTTTTTTGTGGCCAGCTCAGCCCACCATGGGGGTGGGGCTGGCTGGCATGTGTACTAGGGATTGAACCACAGTCCCTGCACTTTGCGTAAGCTTGCCTAAGCAGGTTCCAACCCAAAGTTAGGACCTTTTTAATTGGCTTATTTCTCCCCTGCCTTTCAACATTTATTGCCCACTTGTCAAGTGAAATGAAAGGACATAAAAAGTCTCTACTTGGTTTATTCCAGGTTTTGGTTTTGTCAGACCAAAACCAAAATGTAGACCTAATGCCCCTCTGTTTTAATCTGATACAGCAGTGCGAAAAGTAGTAATAGACTTTCCAGAGGAAAACCTTCTACATCGGAATGGTATTCTCACGGCCTAGGAAGTTGCTTGCTTTCAGAACTGAAGCAGTCTTTGCACCACCAAAGGCACATTTGTTTTTCATCATCAGTAGATTGCAGTAAAATTCCTAATGATACAAATGGAGCTTTCACAAAGACCGTAAGGCAGCTGTGCTCATCTATTAGGTGAGGAGGTGGTAAATTTGTTTTTAAAACTAGAACCAGTAGTTCCTGCACAGGAAGGCAACCATGAGTTGAATATCTGAAAATACATGACCACTGGTATTGTGCAGCAGAGTGACTGTGGGTCTGTGGCTAGCCGTTTTCCAATACAGTCAGCTGACCACCTCTCAGTGTGCCACATCATTGAAAATTCACCTTGATGCTTTTTAAGGCCCCTTTCAGTCTTTTTATTCTGTTGTTTGTGATTAAGATGCTTCTTTATATGTAGACTGGTCTTTGAATTGGGTAGCTAGTGCACTGTATGTAAATATTTAGCTAAATTATTTTCTCAGACTTAAAAATATATTTGTAATTTCATTCACCAAATAGCAAGAACCTATATATGAACTTCAAGATGTACGGTGTCTCAAAAATAGGGACACCTAAGAACTAGTGAGACTGAGTTAAGAGAGAATATTTTCAAGTTAGAAATTGATACAGTGAGGCAGATGCAGGGGTCAGGAGTTCAATTTCTGGGCTGTGCTGAGAGGGTGATTGAGACTAGGTATGGTGGTGCGTGCCTGTAATCCCAGCACTTAGGAGGAGGTAAACAGGAGGATCACTACGAGTCTGACCTATGCAGTGAGAGAGACCCTGTACACCTTGTCCTAAAATTTAAAAAAAAAAAAAAAATTTTTCCTTGGGCCAGGGACATAAGCTCAGTGGAATAAGTGCTTGCCTGGCAAGTGCAAGGTCCTGAGTTTGATCCCTGGTACCACCAAAAAAGAAAAGAAATTGATACAGTGGGCCGGTATTCTTCAAAAATATTAAATCTTCACCTTTTTTTTTTAACTGTATTTGTCAGATAACATTGAATAAATGGAGATTATACTAATTTTACTTAGTTCTTTTTTTTATTCATTTGGTACAGTGTCTCACTATGCAGCTCAGACTTGTGATCCTCCTGTCTCAGCTTCCCTAGTGCTGGGATTACAGGTGTTTGCCACCATGCCTGGTTTTGGTGGCCAACACAGTGTTCCGGGCTGGCACGGCATGTGGCACTGGGCATTGAACTTGGTTATCTGCGCTTGCCAGGCAGGTGCTTAGACTGCTGAGCCGTCTCCTCAGCCCCTTGTCTTACTAGTTCTTGAGTCTTCTAGGATACTCAGTGGTCATTTTTGACATGCTAGGCAATGTGCTCCATTTTGAAAAGAACGATAAGATACAGTTCCTTTTCCTAAGATGGGTAAGTCTAGTTGAGAATATAAAGCAGGAACAAAGAGCACTAGGTAACAGCACAAAATAGTAGCATGAAAGGTTGCCAAATGAACAGATAAGTGCTGTGTCAGCGTGGGCTGTCCCTTGTGTGTTGTGCTGCTGGTAAATGACGCAGAAAGCCTCTGAGTTGTCCACACAAATCAAGCTCTTCCATTGATGCCCTGCCCAAGATCAGTTTTCTGACAAAAATCCTTTTCCTGGCGTCTTAAAATGTAAAGAGCGTGTGCTTGGGCCTGGATGAACCTTCTGTTTCATACAGTCATGGGAGGAGATACAGCTATTGAGAATTATGTCTGTGATTTACATGTTTTCAAACACAGTAAAGTCATGTGATGGCCGAAGATTAATGGCTTTGTGAGTTAAGAACAAAAACTATAGCATACTCTATAGTTGCAAGTGAAGTTTTCATCTAAAATGAGGTAAAAATCGCTTCTTGACTTTTTGGCTAAGATCAAGAGTAAAATTAGGTAAAGTTGGTAAGTTATCGATAATTTTTACCTCCTGGAAGCTTTGAATGCTACATTTTCTCTAGAAATACTTTGATTTTATACATTGTTTAAAAATGACCAGATGCATGTCTAGAGTGCTCTGACAGGTGAACCGTTGATTCAAATCGAAGTATTGAAAGCATTTATGTTTTGTTTGAAATAATCCCAGAATAGAAAAACGGTTCACATTTTATTAAATGTTCCTTTAAAACTTGGTTGTTTATTTGTTTTTTTTCTCATTTGTGAGTAAATTAGATTACTTTGTATGGCTGTATCCACTACCATTCATCCTTATTATCTTTGCAATCTAATGGGAAAATAATATTTGGAGAAAGTCTGTGTGTACAGAAGGAAGGCGTTCGGTGGTGCAAGTTTGGACATGTAACCTCACAGCAGCTTTGAGCCACCACTTGAAGACTGCCCAAAACTGAGAGGGGGGAAAAATATATATATGTGTGTGTGTGTGTGTGTGTGTGTGTGTATATATATATATATATATATATATATAATGACTTACCATTTTTAAAATATGTAACTAGGTGGGTGGATATAAACAAGATATACACCCTTTGTCTTCAGTTTATTCTCAAATTACTGGTTATGAACCAGTTCGTCAGACATGCTGTCTAGAGGTAAATTCAGTTCATCTAATTAAAGGACACGTTGGCCTTTTCCTAGATTGTCATTTTTGCTTGGAATCTGATGCTCGTTGGTGGCTTGCCACAGAAATAGAGGAAACCATTGTTCTGTTTGCAGAAGTGATAGACCTTGAGGCATGGGTGTCCCGTGGATCTGTGCCTCTCCAGGGTTGCACCCTTTGCTGATCAGAGAAGAAAGGCTATCCACTGTCAGTGCCCAGGGCTTTCTAAAGTTTTTTTATTGCCTAGGAAATGCTTGTAAAACAGAATAATTTTCATGGAAACGAGACCTTTTTTTTTTTTTTTCAGTCTTTTGTGTACTCTAAGCGAGCTAGGAATGTGCACATAGGTTCTGAAATAGCATATTTGAAAAAGCGCAAAGAAAAGACAGCTGGATTGCTTCCTCTTCTCAGTGTTCCTCAGTAATGGAACAAACGTTGTTTAGGTGCACCAATTCGTACGTGCCCTTGCGTGTGTCCCAGAGATAGCCCCTAACTAGGTTATGTGAAAATAAGTGGTATATACTTATCGTTGTACTGCCGAGCAGCAACAAATTTAGTTCACATCGTTCTCCCCTTCCCCACTACCCTTAAAAGATCATCCACTGTGAAAGTTATTACACTGCATTGAGCTTCAGTGTAAAATGTAAAATGTAAGAACTAATGTAAAAGCTGTTAGGTAAGTCTTATTTCTTTCCTAAGTCAGTGTAAAACTGTTATTTTTAAGGAGTTTTTTAGGAGTCTTAGTTGGGTTTTGCTTTGCAGATAAGCTTTGTTTCTTTTTTGCTTTGGCCACAAAAAGATGTGTGCTGTCATCAATTTTTTTGTGAATTTCTTCTGTGTAAACCAGGCCTGTTTTTTTTTTTTTTTTTTTTTTTTTGTGGAATTTGTGCCTGTGATTGTTTTCTAATTATTTCACTATTATTTGGTAGAAGCATTTTCATTAATATATTAGGGGCCAATTTTATCAAGTAGTAGTGTTTGTGCAGCCACTGATAGACACTGTGCACCTTCCAAGGGCAGCTGGAGGGATGGTAAGGAGATTCAGGGCCAGGTCTAAAGGTCTTAAGTCTGTGAAGAAAGGGATTTCTTTTCTCCTCTAAATTTTTAACATGCTGCTCTCTTCTCTCCTTTTTGTATTTCCCTGTTCTGGTCTACTTTTTTCTCCTTTACACTTAAAAATTAACTTTTATTGTACTTGTTGTTTTATCTTGTTTAGTATCCATCTTCCTTATTAGAATACAAGTTTAATGAGGACATGCATTTGTGTCTTTGTTCACTTTATCCTCAGAGCTTAGAATGTGGTGAATGCTCAGTAAATATTTGTTGAAGGAATGAGAAATTGGCATCCTCGCAAAAGGAAAGGAACCTAATAGTACAGGTGTAACAAGGGACCACCCGTAGACTACTTTTTATCTACACTAATTATTATTTGAATACTTTGAAAGTATAGGCACATAAGTGTAGTTAACCAATAAGATATATATTGGAATTATATTGTATTAGGAGACAGTTGAAGGGTTTTGGGAATTAATACTCTGAAATTGACTCAGTGTATGATGGCTTAAGAAGGAGTGCTGAAAGACACAGCGATTTCCAAGAAAGTAAGTTTGTACTGGAGAAGGATTTCCTAAAGATTGAGAAGGATAGGAGATGGCTGGGGCCAAGTCAGACAGAATGTGCATTTGTTTATTCTTTGACCACAGAACGTGAGGGAACATTGGAAAGGTAAAATACGGGTGAGGAAATTTTGTGAAGAATCAAGAATAAAAAAATTCATTAAGCCTGTGCCTGAGAGCCACAACTAATTATCAAGAAAGCAATGTCGTTAGCCAGAATTGTATGTTTAGAAGATAATTCGTAAGTGCTGTTGATTTTTAGAGTACAGAGATGCCCCAAGGTACTAAATGGTGAGTGTGCTTTAAGAGTGTGGCTGTGGTAGTGTAGCAAAATGAGACAGACCTGAAAGTTCAGCAGCGCTTAGCAACAAACTGTGCTGCCCAAGGGGTGGGAAGTGAGGAGAACTTTCTCATGGTACAGATTTCAGTAGTTTTGCTCCTGAAGACACTGTAAGGAAGATGCTTGAACTAATTTTGAATAGAGATATCTGTCTCCTAAATTTTCTACATGAACCCTCATAGAAAGCTAATAAGCCTTGAGAAATCAAGGTGTAAGTTTTAGGAAGCTTTTTGGGGGTAGAGGGAATGTTAAAACTAGTAAAGTCTGTATTTCTGGTTGTATATTTTTAATTCCTTAAGATAGAAAATATTTATTTTATTTTACTTTTGGTTCTGGGGGTTGAACTTCCAAGACCTTGTACTTGCAGGCAGGTGCTTATGCCACTGAGCTATCTCCCCAGTGCAAAAATACTCATTTAAGAGTTTAAAAAATCATGTTTACTCTTAATGACAAACATTTACTGTTAATGGAATTTGTATCAACTCACTTCAGACACCATTAGTTTGACATGAACTAACAATTTTCTTGCTTGCTCACTGTTGAAAGTATCTCAGTTTTGGCTTGGGTTTTTACCTTCTAACTGATACTTAATCTTTTTAAGTAAGGTCATCTACTTACTATTCTTCCCTGCCATACATCTTAAATTTCTTCTTTATTCCTTGCTCTTTTAAGGACTTTTCTTCCCATAATATGTCCAGTGCTTGTAGCATAGAGATTCATCTTTTATTCTACCCAACAACTATTGAAAATGACAACCAATTTCCACGTATAGAGTTCCTTTGAAGGCCAAGCATGCATTAAGATTGTCAATCCTTATAACAATGTAGGTAGTCTCATTTCACAGATAAGGAGAAGGAGGCTAGAAAAGAAGAATTAACTTCACACAATGTGGCTATACATCTAATGCTCAATGGAGCCTAGAATTCAAGCCTTGATCTCTTTGACTCAAAAGAAGCTCCCATTTCTACCACAGGACACAGTCTGAAACCATTTTACGTAAACATAGTTTTTGCTACACTTCTCAATACCACCTTTGTATTTCTGGTACTTTTTGCACTTGATTTCTCTATTAAGTTTAGATTATTTAATCTATGACTTTATTAAAACATTAAAATAGCATGCCTTATATTGAGCTTTTCTAATCCACCAAATTAAATTTTTCTCTCTTTTTAAAAAAAATATTTTTAATAGATACATTGTCACTACCTTGCTTTGGGGAGTGGTTCTCTTGCTTTCCAGTTTCATTTATTGGAGTAAAATTACTTCCCAGTTAAAATTCAACTCAGTAAATATATGCTGAATACTTCCAAGTACTAATTGAAAATTTAAGTGTCTTGGCGCACAGCAGTAACTGAGCTATCTGGCCTGAGGAGCTCTTTCATGTTGGAGGTCAGCATAAAACCATGTGAACAGTATCTGAAGTCACTGCCCCAGGATAATGCCCAGGTGATTGAGGCTTACTGTACATTTCATTGAAGTGTGTTAAAATCAAATTCTAAATGTAGAATTTTTCCTAGGTATGCCTTGCAATAGCTCATTATTCCCAGCCAACAGATCTCCAGCTACTCTTTGCATTTGAATATGTTGGGAAAAAATACCACAATTCAGGTAAATATGAAATTACTAAATATTGTAACTAATTTTTCATGTATAAATTTTATTCTGTGTTTGTCAAAAGCCTCAAGTGTATGAGCTTTAATGAGTGCAGAGTTGCTAGCTTCATAACTGTTAGGAGAGTAAGCACTATATACTAACAGAGTCAGTATTGTCAGATTGTTTCTTGAAGAGCAGCTAGGAAAGACATAGTGTAAGCAGCTGTAATACAGGCTTACAAGAGTGACGTTGAATATTTTATTGGCTTTTATTTTATGATAAAGAATAGATCCCATCTTTTAAATTTGGTTATTTTGGTCAAAATAATCTTAACTTTAAAGAAAACTGGTGGGAAACTACAATGACAATTGAAAAGCATAACTTCTGGCAAGGTGTAATTTCATACAAAACCCAAAAGGGTTAAAAACCTTTGGGTGAATTCATTAAGACGGTCAAAATATGGACGTTCTGAGTAGAATTAACGCAAGGCAAGTGAGTGTACTGTGGACATACACATCCTAGGCAGTTTTATGGAGATGCAATAGTTCTGTCCACATACATGTCACGTGACACCACAAGAATTCCAGATGATTATGTAATTCCATGCATTTTATTTATATCACAGTAACTTTAATAGCCTGTGTTTCAGAATTCATAAAAAGATACAAAGACCCCATGTCCTGTTAGCCCCTGTAGGTTAGCGACTGCTACAAAGACCCCATGTCCTGTTAGCCCCTGTAGGTTAGCGACTGCTAGCTGATTGAAGCGTGTGTGTTCTCTCACTGCTGGATGAAGAAAAGTCAGCATGTATGTATAATGAAAGATCCACTCACTTCAGCATTGTCTGGGGCTTATACATTATTAACTGTACTAGTATTTTATATTTGTTTTCTTAAAAACCATGGTAATTTAAATTACCTTTATATAAAGTGTATCACAGCATCACTGCATTAGAAATACATTAGAATGTTATAGTACATAGTATCCACAGATGCATGTGGTATATTTTATTACTTTAGATGAGATTAACCAGTCAAAGAGATGATATATGAAAATGCCTGAAGAATAGCTTTTACCTTGTCCTATGTAGAAGTTGGGTAGCAAAAGTATAACTTCTCTTACCAAAATGTATATTCATCGTAACTTTGAGTAACACAGTTATTTTTTAAAAGGTTGAAATTACGTTTTGTCTAAAAATAAAGGCATTAGCAATTGTGCTCTTAGGTAAATGTTCCTTTGGGCCATCAGGAGAACCCTAGAATGGTCTGCCTTTTTCTTTTGCCGTATTTAGGACAGGGTCTACAGGGCCTCACTACGTAGATCAGACTTGTAGTGATTCTCCTGTTTTCAGTCTCCTAAGTGCTGAGACTACAGGCACGCAAATGTGCCACCACACCCAGTCTCAATCCCCAGTCTCAGTTGTCCTCTCAGCGCGCCCCGGGGTAGGGATCGAATCCAGCCCCTGTGCTCTGCCTAAGCAGGCACTTTAGTGCATTGAGCTATCTGACCAGCCCTTGTTGGCCCCTAGAATGGTGAATCCTGGTTATCTTCAGTAAGACCCTCATCCAGAGCTATAAGAGAGTAGCTTAAATGAAAAGTTTCAAGAGGTACAAAAAGCACAGGAAATAGTCTTTGATTCCTGCTTCAATTTCTTTGGTGATACAGCCCCATTCTTTAGGCTACTATTTTTTCTGATAGAAATAATTTGGTTCCATGTACAGCTGGTAACTTATTAACTGCTCAAGTTAATTCTCACCTCTTTCTTTACTCATTTCTTGTAGGCATCTCTGATATCTAATATTGTAAATCGTTTATTAACTCATAGTTCTTCTACCACTGGGTTTTCTGTGAACCACTTTTTAAAAATTTCCTTGTTAATAAAATTTAGATTCTTAAAATATTTGGGGACTTTCTATTTACATCCTTCAGCCTTCTCCTTCAGCACATACTTCACAAACATAATACTGGCCAAAGTTTTGTTAGTTTCTTCATAGGGTAACATCCTTTAAAACCTTCCTGTGCTGTTACAGAAGCATAAGCTCTGCATCCTTGGAATGAGGAGAAGCTTGAAATTTCTATACAGTCAGAATTCATTAATTTGTGAATAAAAGATGACCAGTAATCCACTCTTGAGCCTCTAGATGACACCTTGACTCATTGGCTGGATAAAGCAGTCTCTTATGCAGGCAGGTAGGTCCTGAAGCTGTTTCCACAAATAAGATCAGAAGTTCCTGTAGTTACCTAGGAAACGAAGCTGCAAGCCGGCCTTCAGTGTTCTGAAGTTTTTTCCCACCCAGCATCACCTGAGTGAATGCCATCTCTGAAGGCCTGTGCAGTTGTGCATGTAGTGTGAGTATCCTGACCTGCAGGAAGGTGCGCAGCTGCTGTAGGTGTGACATGTGGCTTCATACGGACATCACAGAAAACACCAGTACAGACAGCAGCGGCTCTGGGGCTGTTCTTTTAACATAAAGAACTATAAGGACTCGGTTCACAAGTCAGATTACTATTAGGCAAATAACAAAAAAGTAGATTTATATTTGTTATAAAACTATTAAGATGTCAGCTTCTGGGCCAGCCAGATAGCTCAACACACTAAAGTGCCTGCTTAGGCAGAGTTAAGTGGCTGGGGTTCAGTCCCCACCATGCGTGCTGGCCCCACCCCCGGGGCGTGCTGAGACAGCAATTGAGACTGGAAATGGTGACACCCACCTATAATCCCAGCCCAGGGAGACTGAACACAGGAGAATCACTACAAGTCCGACCTACAAAGTGAGACCCTGTAGACCCTGTCCTAAATACATTATTTTTTTAAAAAAGATGTCAGCTTATGCTTGTGAACAAAAAAATTGAAAACCTCATAAAATTGTCTGCAGGCTCAGTGTCAGCAGCTCTACATCATGACAGACATGTTTACAAGTTTTGTGATATAATCTCATTTAATGTCACTTCTTAGCAGAAAATTACATTTTTAGTGGACTTGGTTAGTTTTTCCTTTTTTTTTTTTTTGGTGGATCCAGGGATTGAACTCAGGCCCTTGCACTTGCCAGGGAAGCGCTTATTCCACTGAGCCATCTCCCCAGCCCCAATTTTTTCCTTTTTAAGTAATAGGTCTTGGCATTGGATTGATTGTTCTTTAAATGTGCACTTATTAGCATTTTTGTTATTAATGAGCTCTGTTAGAATTGCTGGTTAATTCTAGTGCCACTTGAAAGATAAAATTCAGAATTCCTAACTCTGCATGAAACCCTTCATAATCTAGAACAGCACTGCCCTGTGATACAAGTATTCTTTCCTCTCTGCTGTCCGGCAAGGAAGCTGCCAGTCGCATGTGGAAATACGCACTTGAGATATGGTTAGCTCAACTGAGAGACTTTTTATTTTTTTCATTTTAGTTTATATTTAAGCAGTTTATGTTTTGATCAGCACAGGTCTCAAGTCTAGTCTGCCTCTGATTTTTCCAGTCTCTGTTCTGCCACTTCGAGTTGTAGGTATATTTAATTACTTGATGGTTTACAGTTGTATCATGTTTTTAAAAGTGTACTTCTCTGACCAGAGCCCACTTGTTCACTAGCTATCTGGAGACTTTTGACACACTCTTCAGGACTCTTCAAATGTGGTCAGGTCAGGAAGCATTTCCTGGCCCATCCCTCCCACTGAACAAAACTTTGGCGCTTCCTCTTCTGTGTCAATCTAGCACACTGTCGTTGTTGAATTTCTTGCTGTCTTGTTAATGCTTTCAAAGTAGATAAAATTTTACTTTCTGCTTTCAGACATTAGCATATCATATATCCTCAGAAAAAACCCTGTCCTGTAGCGGGAGTTAATAAATGACTTGTGGAATGGATATGGACCATTCATGGGACAACTAAGGATTTTGTATGGCTACAAATAATTGGAATTAGGAGTAATGGTAAACAGTTATGTGGAGGAGCTTTAAGGTCAAGAATAGCCATCTAGGTTCGCTTGATTCTTTTGGGAAATGAGTGTGATGAAAAGGTTGGGGCGAGGGCTAGCATGCTTTTCAGGGCAGGGAGTCTTATGCTACATTGCTGACAGGTTCAGGTGTGCCAGAACTTCTGGCCAAGGATGTTGGCATGGAAGTTTGCCACAGTTGCAGCCTACGACTGTCTGACAGTGGGCCAGGAAGGACTATGCCATATGTCACCTTGGGACAGATCTGGCTGATTTGGGGGTCTCCCAGGCTGTGGCCTGCTCCCAGAGTGTGGTAGCAGTTCTCCTTTCTTGAGGAAGTCTTCTTGTTAAGGAACTCTGTTCTGGGCCCACTATGCCAGAATTCCCATGTGGGGCCAGCACTCAAGCGGAGCACAAGCAGTGTTGTGAGCTTACCAAGAGTTTTCTAATGAGCAGATAGGAGAAGATTTGAAGGGCTTAAGAACAGAGATAGTTGTTGGATGCATTCATTTTTCCAGGCAAAATTGTGGAGAAAATAAACAGATGACTTGGATTTACCCTATAATTTGGCAAGGCCAGGAATAGTTTCCATAGAACTGTAGGGATGGAGGATGATTGGGAAATGAAGAGAAAACATTTCCAGGCTTCCTTCATTGTATGAAAAGCTGATCAGCAAAAGGAAGGAAGAAAAATGTGTGGCATAGTAGCTAGTGTGAACAAATGCACTTTTCAAAATCAAGTTGACTTATTTATATTTGAAGGTACGTGAGGTACAGATGGACAGGAAATCAAAGGTGTTGTCAAGGAGTGAAGAAAGAATTAGTAAGGACAAGACTAGATGAGTTATTTTAAAATAAAAAAGATAAGTCCCAGCACTGGTAGGCTTGAAAACAGGAGGATCACTACCAGTCCAAGCTGTGTAGTGAGACCCTGCACAAAATAAAAAAAAAGAAAATATATATATATGATTCTTGGATTCCTGGAGAGACTTGAAAGATGAGGCAGGGAAGAGCTGCCACATCAGAGCATGTGTGTAACTGAAGGCTCGGAGAGGGCAGAGCTAATGCTAGCTGAAGCGTGAGTCCACACCAAAGTTAACTATATTCCTTTTCCTACAGCCACCAGAATTAATGGAGTGTCCCCAGAAGGTGGAGGAAAAGGAGGGATTGGAGCTGGCAGTGGTGCCACCAACCAGAAAACTCCACTGTTTGAAACTTACTCAGACTGGGACAGAGAAATCAAGAGGACAGGTGCTTCCGGGTGGAGGGTTTGTTCTATTAATGAGGGTTATATGATATCCACTTGGTGAGTTCAAGTTTTACAATGTTATTTATATCAAGAAGTGACTATTCTCTGAATAATCAAACTTGCTGCTGATGCTGTCAAGTTAGTGTTAAAAAATATTTGTGATTATACTTTAATGGATATTTTAATGATAGAGGTTTTTAAAAATATAATTCTAGTATCTATCCATTGAAGGAAGTTGACAATTTCCTTACTATCATTAGTAATTTAGTCAATGTTCTTTTTGCATTTTTATCTTAATGATTCTCATAAGTTGGTGTGTTTAAATCCAGATCCTAGGAAAGTTTGATGTTGAATTTGCTGATTTGGCTCTCTTTCTGCCTTCATAAACTTACATTTATTTGCAGACAAAACCAGGTTTTTTTTCTGTAGTATTTTCCACATTCTAGGTATTGCTGATTTTATCCCTGCTCTGTCCTATAATATGCTCAGTTACCTCCTGTATTTCCTATGAATGTTAGTTAACTCGGGAGGCATAAAATTGAATCCAGGTTCAATGTTTTGGCAAGCATATTTCCTTAGGTGGTGATGCCTGCGCCTCCGGGTATACTGTGTCAGGGCTCCAGCTTGCTCACGTGGTGGCTGCCCCTCACCCTCACCTTTCCCTTGCAAGCTGGCTCATTGTATCTCTGCCTCTGTCTCTGTCTGTCTGTCATGCTTATTATAGTGCTGACTGATCAGTAATAGGCTTGGGGCTGTCACCCTGATCCATTTAGTACAGTCTTCACTTTGTACATCATGATTTCAGCAGCAAGAATAGTTTTCACTGGTAGTGAGGATAGTTGCCCAGATGTGTTATTTTTTTAGGGCTTACTATTTATTGTGTCCTGTCATTTTTTTCTTTAAAATTCTTTGTCTAGCTCTTTATTAGCCTGAAATATAATTCATATAAGAAAGGCAGTATAAGTCTTTACATTTGCTCTTATATTACCAGTCTTCAAAACAGTGAGCAGGTTCCCTAAAGTTCTTCAAAGGTAACCAGGAATTGGGCTGCAGAGGTAGCTCAGCAGTTTAAGCGCCTGCCTGCCTAGGCAAGTGCAACGACTCATGTCCGATCCCTGGCCCTGCCTCAGGTGTGCCCAGCATGGTGGTGACACCTGTAATCTCAGCCAGCGCTGAGGAGGCTGCATAGGGAGCCTCTGCACCAAACAGATGAAATTTAAAAAAAAAGTAACCAGGAATTTTTTACATTTGTTTGATATTCAATACTGTTGAAGTTTTTAGACTGATTTAAGATCATTGAAGTACTCATTCATTCAAGTAGATAATAAAAAAGTAGATGGTGCTACCATGTTACTGCCAATTAATTCATTGTCTGTCTGTCTGTCTCTTGTCTGTTTGAGACAGGGTCTCACTATGCAGTTCAGGCTGGCCTTAAGCTCAGTATGTAGTCCAGCTGGTCTTGAACTCACAACAATCCTCCTGCCTTAGCCTCCCGAGTGCTGGGATTACAGGTGTGTCCCACCATGCCCGGCTCTGCCAAGTAATGCTGTCTTAGGAACTTTGATAGAGAGGGAGATCTGGAGCTTGCACCTTGGTTTTCTGCTTCCCCTTGAGGTTGACATACATGGCCAGCGTGCTGTGAGGTGCATGTGCTGTGGGGGTGACTGTGCCTAGCTCATCCCACCTTTGTCCCGTGCCAGGCTGAATGGAGGAAAGCGGAGCAGAGGTTGTGTTGAGGTTCAGTGTGCAGCTCAGTGTCCCACAGCCCACTGGGCCTTGAAGGGAAGGACCAGGTAGAAGGAGGAGATAGCAAGGGAGCCGAAGCCTTTTGATTTATTTGGTTCTTTTTAAATTTTGTTTGCCTTTATCTTTACCCACAGCCTGTCAGGAGAACAAAGGTGTTCATGTTTTCTAGAGACTGTATATATTTGATTAGTAGTCATTCTGGAAAATATTTTAAATTAAATTTTTTTCTCCTGTTATAAGTTTTAATTTTGTGATAAATGACTCTATCACACCTGTTGTAGGCAGAAACAGCCAGGATCATTGGTGTCCTTCATGGTGCCGGCCAGTGCAGCTCCCAAGCAAGGCGCATATTGAGTGGAGATAAATGTATTTAAGTATAGGTGGTGTCTGTAGAGTATATAGGCCTCCCTTGAGCAAAGACTTCTTAAGTATGATCTCTTCCCCCTCCAGCCTTCCAGAATACTTTGTAGTGCCAAGTTCTTTAGCAGACCAAGATCTGAAGATTTTTTCCCATTCTTTTGTTGGAAGAAGGATGCCAGTAAGTGCTTCCTATTGGATGTATTCCTTGACGCTGATGACCATGGTTTCTACCCAGGTAAGTAAGGATTCTGCCTCTTTCCTAGCTGTGGTGCTGGAGCCACTCAAATGGCAGTGCCCTTGTGCGAATGGCCCTCATCAAGGATGTGCTGCAGCAGAGGAAAATTGACCAGAGGTAACTGGGAAATGGTCTCACTAGATTATTGTACTTGACCTAAGTATACTAAGTCTACACTAGTTAAGTCCTAGTAAATACAGTTTATTATTTGGTTTATAAAGTGTTTGCAGACCTTACATAGCTGACATCTTGCAGGGACATTGCCTTTAACGTACTATGAAAGTGCAGTAATTTCCAGTTGAGGCACTTCAGGAAATACCAGACTTTACTTTCATTTCAGTGTGTGGCTTTAATGAGCCCTGACACATAGGTTTGGCTGCATCTGTAAAGTCTGGGTAACCTCGGCATCACTGGGGTGGGAGTCCTTGCCCAGTCACGTGTGTCGCAGCAGGCTCACCATCAGTCACTCTCACATATGCTCTCTTGGCCACCAGGGCCACGTCTGTCCACTGTCTCACTGCCCTCTTCTTGGCTGGCACTGTTCCCCCTGCAGTCCTGTCCCCTTCCCTCCAGATATCTCACAGAGTCTGAGGCCACTTCCTATGCTATTCTGTGTTCTCTGCCTGAGGGTGCTTGCGCAAGGCTGTGCCTCTGGTGTTTGTCCAAACCAAACTCAGGAATGTGGCCTCAAGCCTTCCCTAGCCCTAGTGCTGAGGGTCAGCCTTGTTCCCTTTCTCTTCCATCCCTTCTCCACCTGCAATCCTCATCAGATTTCATCACTTTGCTTTTCAGAAATTTTATAAGCCTACGTTTTTCCCGCCAGCCCCACCCATGTGTGTGTCATGGGAGCCTCATTTCTTCCCTCCAGGTCCCACCCTCCTGGATGTTCCCTGGTCTTTTTGCCCTCCTGACATGTCCAGTGCTTTTCCTCCTCCTGGGCTGCCTCCTTAGTGCTCCTTCCTGAGCACCTTCCCCGCCCGTTTGGTTCTCATCCTTCTTATTGCAGACTGGAGCTCACCTGCCTGAGCTCATCCCGACCTGCCTGCTGGAGGGACTCACAGCTGAGCCTCCTCTAGAGCCCTTGAACTTCTCTTCACACTTGTTTCTGTTTATGTGTGTATTTGATTACCACCTTTCACTCTAGCCCACAGGCCCTGTGACATTGCTGTTTTGTATATTGTCCATACAGTTAGCAACAGGAAGTTCCTAATATTTATAAACTACTTATTGAATAAATAAGGAAAAATGAACAGATCTTTACAAGCAGCTCTAGAGAGCCTTAGAAATAGCATAGTCCAGTTGTGAGAGCAGCCCAATCTTAGGGGTTTTTTTCCCACAGTGCTGTAACTAAGAAGGCAGCATTTGCAGAGTCAAGTTAACTGCCATGGAACCTTTATGTGACCTTTCAGTTTTCTGGAAAACATGGCTGCAGTTCAGACAAGTCCCTGTTTTTCCTTAATTGTACCAGGTGAATATTAATTTTTTGTTAATGACATTAGAATTGCTGTTTTGTCATATTACATTGTTGTTCTTACTGGCATGTGCTGACTACATACTCAAAAATTTTGCCACTAGAAGAAGGGAGAGTAAAAGCTTTTGGATGAGAATTAACTGTAAATTTCTTCTAGCTGGTCGCCATTTAAATTACCTTATTAAACTAAGAATTATTTTAATGCCTTGTTTTTTATCAGTCCATTCTTCATAAGTCATGCAGGTTTTCTTTGTTGTACAACCTCATCTCCACACCTTTTTGCCTTGGGCCTATTGCTTTCTCAAGAATTTTCTTTCTTTCTTTCTTTTTTTTGGCAGTACCAGGGATTGAACTCAGGACCTTGCGCTTGCCAGGCAGGTCCTTATACCACTGAGCTGTCTCCTTATCTCTAAGAATTTTCCTGTCCCACTCTTGCTCCTCTCAGGGCCTTTGTGACAGCCGCTTTCTTTCTGGAACACTTTCCCTCAGGTGCTTGTGTCACTCGCATCACGGGTGCCTCAGCGTCAGTGTTGCTGTCACAGAGGAGCCTGCTCTGGGGGAGCAGCCTGTGACTGGCCTGCGCATCCTTCCCACAGCCCTCCGTGCTCTCTTCTGCGCTGCACCCTCCCAGAAAGTAGCCTGCAGGATGGCAGAGACCTCGCGCCTTCCCCTGCTTAGCTCTTAGCAGGGTGCCTTGGCTTATAATGGGTGCTGATTGTTAAAGAGATGAATTAATAATGACTAAAGAATAACGATTTTGTTTTTATTAGGATTTGTAATGCAATAACTAAAAGTCATCCACAGAGAAGTGACGTTTACAAGGTGGATTTGGATAAGACTTTGCCTAATATTCAAGAAATACAGGCGGCATTTGTAAAGCTTAAGCAACTGTGTGTTAATGGTAACTTCATTTTTGTTTTATATATATATTTTTAGAAGGGAGATAAAGAATTGTATACAACCTACCAAGAGAACTGATATTCCTTAATAATACTGAAATGGGTATATTTAAGGAGAAACTCATTGAAATATTTGTTCAGCTTTTATTGTATAAGAAGGTTGGAAGCTCTAGCAAATGTTTTCAGTTAATTTTTATTTTGGAGAGAAAGAAATGAACCTGTTAAAATCTCCAAACCAGACAGATATAGTATTACCTAACAGACAAACTAGGATTTTTAATTGACAGGGTATATTTTTGAGATTGGTGACAGCATGGGTCTGAAATAGAACCGTACTGTATCTGTAGCCTCAGAGTTTTGATCTGTATATTTGAATGAACACTTAGGTGGCTGCGATGTGCCATGTGCAGACATCTTACATCTTTGGCATAAAGGCAGAGCTCCAGTGGCACCTGGCAGGCGAGGTGGTCTTGCAGCAGGTCTTGAACAGTGGGGGACTGCCCAGAAGGAGAGCTCTGTGGGGCAAGAGCAGGGTGTCTAGAGAAGCACAGTGTCCTGAATGTGATCTGCACCCTGGTGTGCTCTCATTCCTAGGTGTGCAGTCCCAGGCCCAAGTGTGCAGAGCCAGCAGGGACGGCAGGGCGGGGCAGGGCATGCAGTGGGGTAGGTGTGAGCGGAGCTCTGGGTGGCTCTTCTTGCTAGTTGGGAGTGCTGGATTAAAGGGTCAGGAAGACTGGGAATCATTAGCTCTCAGGAGATAATGCTGGTGGGATTTCCTAAGGTTTCCCTGAAAGAGCCAGGAAGCAGAGAAGAGCACTGGAGAATGTTTTATCTTTGTTGTAGAATCAGGTCATAGCTGTTTACTCTGCATTATTAATGTGGAGGTGCATGATTCTTCCTTAAAGCCAACTTTGTTGTGTGTATCTGGTACTGGGGATCGAACTTAGGACCTTGCATTTGCCAGGCAGGTGTTTATGCAGCTGAGCTGTCTCCCAGGCCCCCTTAAGGCCAACTTTTAAATATTAAAAACTGTGCTATGTCTTTTAACTGATAAGGATCATGTTAAGTTAAACTTAATAGCCTCAAAATGTATTTATGTGATGTATATTCCATTTATATTACAGAGCCTTTTGAAGAAACTGAAGAGAGATGGTTATCTTCACTGGAAAATACTCGGTGGTTAGAATATATCAGGTTTGTCAACTTCTTTTTTTCAAGACTCATAAAAAAATAATACAGCCAGGTACTTTTCATACAGCCTCTTTCAGTGACAGCAGCTTACATAACTTAAGTGCAGCATCAAACCCAGAAAATCTACACTGGGAAAGCTATACATTTCATGACTCTACGCGTGCCCTTATGTGTGCGGGGCGCACACAGAGCTCCATGCAGTGCCATCACACGTGCAGCTTCACAGGAGCTGGAGCCTCGTCGGGGGCAGGACTGCTGTGTGCTCAAGGCGTCCTCCTCCATGCCTGTGGTGGTATCACTTTACAGTTGTTGTGTAAGTCAGGTTCTTTTGAAAATTATATACCAAGGACATTCATAGGATTGAAAATACAAATACATATAGTGAAAGATGAGTTTTATTAGATTTCAAGTACTTTTAAAATGTGTTTATGGTAGAAATTTTTTTTTTTTAACAATATTTTTATCTTTCTCTTTTCAGGGCATTCCTTAAACATTCAGCAGAAGTTGTGTACATGCTAGAAAGCAAACATCTATCTGTAGTCCTACAAGGTAACGAAGGTTATTCCTCAGAATGCCTGGCTACTGGTTGTCCACATTCAAGTAAATTACATTAGTTTTAGCTGTGTCTTTGTACTCTAGTATTATCAGATACACTACAGATTTTGTGTGATTGCAGGTAGTAGTATACAAAGGTGTCTGATTTTCTCCCATTCATGAAGTCCTTTCCATTCTGTTCTAGTGCAAATGCCTTCTGACTCACAGTAGGCTGTGACTGGGAGAAAAGCACTTGATGTCATAAAGTAGGTGGAATAGCCACCAGTGTGCATTTGTCTAATATTTCATAGAAATAAACTCCAATGTAAAAATCTTTTAAGTTAAGCAAGGGATAATTATGTAGTAATTTTCTCTTTTTTTATGTATTTAGTATAGGGTCTCACCGTGTAGATTGGACTCGTAGTGATTATCCTGTAGTGAGTAATTTTCTAGCTAATAGGCTTTTTGAGATTACACATAAGTGTAACCGACCACAAGGTCCCAGGCCACGTTGTGCAGCACAGCTAAGGAGCCAGGGTACTGCTTACCATGGGGGAAATGTTTACCAGCCATCAACCCTTACTGCCTTTAACAGTGCAAAGATTTTTAAAACTTTAGGAAAAAAAGAACAGTGCGGTAATACCTCGGTTCATGAACTTAATTTGTTCTAAGTTTTGGAAAAGATGGCCACGTATGTGTTTGTGTGGGTAAGATGGCTGTGTTGTGATCCTCGCCTGGTGCAGTGTTGCGGACAAAGATAAAATTTTGTCAAACACTTCTGTTTGCCAACCAAATTGTTTGCAAACAGAAACATTTGTGACTCAAGGTATCACTGTAATGCATGAAGTAAAATACTTAATTGACACAGAGTTTGTGCTTAATGTGCAGATGGGCGCAGAACCTGGCTCTGGGGTACTCTCTGCCGCTCAGCAGCACATGTTCTCATCGTTCTCAGCCCTGCTTGGCCTTAGTTTCTCCATGCACCCGTAGTGAGCAAAGGCCGCAGAGGTCATGAGCCTGTTCACTAACACTTGTATTAAAGTTTATTTATATGCTATACAAACCTTCTACCTTTCATTCAGTAATTTTTATCAAATAGGTCTGGTTTTAGAAATTTGTCATCATCCCTAAAAACTTCTCTGTCCCAGCTCTGCACAGTCACTTATCCATCCTGCCTCTGGAGGTCTGCCGCCTCTGGGTATTGTGTATTAATGGAGTCACACAGCAGGTGGTCCTTTGCCTACGGTGTCTTTGATAAAGGCTTTGAAGGGCATTCTTGTAGCACATATCAGTGCTGTGTTCTTCTTTACATCTAAATTATATTCTGTCCTCTGTGAATATATTTGTGTATTCATTTACATGTTGATGAGATTTGGGTTGGTCCACAGTTTGGCTATTAGGAAGTTATGCTCCTGTGAATGTTCACATAGGAGTTTTGGGGGATGTAAATTATTTATTTTGGGTCCATTACAGAAATAGAATTGCTAAAAAAAAAAAAAAAAAAAAAGAAAGAAATAGAATTGCTGAATTATAAGGTATATTTATTTCCAACTTCTTAAAAGACTGCAGAACTGATGGACACAGTATTATTAACAAAATACCAGAAAAGTAATACATAATTTTGTAATGGTAACCAGAAAGAAATCTTAGAGATATCCTATTATTACTCATATTACAAAAAATAAAGGTGCTGGAACTGCTTAATGTTTCACAACCAGAAAGTCAGGAGCCTGCCAAAGTGTGTTCCACCTCGTGTGGAGCGCATTTTCTTTCCATTCCAGTCTCAGCACATCCTCCTCAGCACTGTTGTCTGCTTTTAGGGTCCTTCTAGCAGAGATGCATTCTGTAGTTGTCATTTATACTTCCCTAATGCATTTAATTTCATTGAATGCTAAAAATTCTTATGGATTGTGGAAACAATTTTTGCATCTTGATGTGATTTGCTTATTTTTTTGCTTGTGGTGTTTATTCTTTAGCTCTTTTGCGCGCACGCGCGCGCGCGTGTGTGTATGTGTATGCAAGTGTACAATAATTGGGGCATGTCAACCCATGGTATGTCACTCATTGAACTCCATCCTCACCCTCTTTTTCTGTGTTGAGTCTTAGTCTTTCTAATTTGCCCAGGCTCACCTCGAACTTGCAGTCCTCCCGCTTCGGCCTCCCAAGTAGCTAGAATTATAAATGAACATCACCACACCTGGCTGTTTTCATTATATGAATATCTTTTGAAGCACTGTTTTAAATATTGACACAGTAGTTTTATTGCTTTTTCTTTAATGGATCGTGTTTTTAATGCCGTGTCTAAGATGTATTTGCCTGACTAAAGATCCTAGAGACTTTCTTCCTATGTTTTGTTGTAATAACTTTTAAAATCTCTTATTTATTTATTTTTGTTTGTTTGTTTGTTTGCTTGGCATAGCGTCTTGCCGTGCGGCTCAGACTCACAGTGATCCTCCTGTCTCGGCCTCTCCAGCATTGGGATTACAGATGTGTGCCACCACGCCTGGCTTTGACTCTGGCATGGCGCACCTGGCGTTCTGGGGCCAGCAGGGCATGCAGTACCGGGGATTGAACATATGTCCTTGCACTTGCCAGCAGGCACTTAGACCACTGAGCTCTCTCCCCAGCTGTTGTAATAACTTGTATAGTGTTAGTTTTTAACATTTAGGTGTGTGATCCATCTTGAATTAATTTCTTGCATATTAGGAGGTGTCTAAATTCATTTCTTTTACATGTAGGTATTAAGTGGTGCCAGCACTCCTTGAAAAGAATGTCCTTTCTTTGAGAAACTGCTTGAAAGCAGAGCACAGTGGCACTGCCACTGCAGGCTGGGAGGCTGAGGCAGGAGGGTCACAAGTTCAAGTCCACCTTGGGCAATTTAAGTGAGTTAGCAAGACTGTCTTAAAGGTGTGTTGGGGGGCGCTGGGGATGTAGCTTAGTGCAGAGGCCCTCATTTTAGTCCGCGTACTGGAAATAAATCAGTAGCCTTGGCATTTTTGTCAGAAATCATAGATGATCAATGCTAATGGTTTGTTTTTGGTCTCTATTTCATTGCTCCTTTTGCCAGATCATAAGCCACATTATCTTGAGCTCTGTCGCTGTGTGGTAGGTTTTGGGATTGAGACATGTTACTATTCCACCTTGTTTTTGGAATTGTTTTGGCTGTTACCAGTCTTTTGTTTAGGCTTAGCCAAAAATGTCCATAGGAATGTTGACAGGAATGTTAAGCACATGTATCATGAAGTGAATTGTCCCCATCTATCTAGGTCTGATCTCATCAGCAGTGTTTTATGGCTTTTATTGGGCAAGTATTGCATTTATTAAATCTCAAGTTTATCGTGATTATAGTGTTTTAAATCTCACCTTCAAGTGTACTGGGTACTGACTGTTACTGTATGTGTAATGCCCACCGACTCACTAGACTCAGCTCTAGTTTCTGGGCTCCTTAGGATTTTTTATGTGAGGATCATGCTATTAGCAAATATATCTGTGTCCTACTCCCAGTCTTAAAGGAAATGCACTCAGCCTTTGACCAGTGAGAATGATGTTAATAGATTTTGTATATCAGATTGAAGATGTTCCCTTCTGTTCCTAGTTTGCTGAGAGTTCTTATGAGGAATGAATGTAGATTTGTCAAATGCTCTTTTGGTTTCTCATGAGATGGTCAGGTTGTTATTGGCCTGTACTTTATTAATATAGTATGATTACTTTGTCAAGGCAAACCTTGCATTTGTGGGATACATTCTTAGGTTTCTGAAGTCATTTGTTTTATTAATAAACTTACTGTTAAGTTTATTAGTAGTATTTTGTGAATGATTTGTGCAGCTATAATCATATAAAAGCTATTGGTTAGCGTTTTTTTTCTCCCACTGGCTTTATTATCGTTATCAAGTAATTCTAGCCTCATGGAGAAGCGCAAGAGCTGTAAGACACAGTGCAGGAAAGCTATCCACCGTTCAGATAATAAGGGGAAAAAGCCCAATTTCCCTGTTCCGTGTGAGCCACTGTCAGGAGTCCTCAGTGAGAAGACCATGTGGTACCTGGAGGCCACAACAAAAGAGTGGGAGGGTGACAGGGTGTGTGAAAAGTGTGGGTAATGAGCAGCTACTATTTGGAAGATATCCATGTATAAGGCCATGCCTACTCAACAATAATTTAGTTTATGTAAAAGTCTAACATACTTCTAAATTGGTGGGCTCTAGTAAAGTTTCCTTTTAGCAGCTGTCTTGAAAGTAGCCTAGGTGCAGGATACCGAATTACCTACTTTTTAACCCATCTTCCTTTCAAGTCTTCTTGTCATAATTTTCTTTCTATTTTCTTGACAGAGGAGGAGGGAAGAGACTTGAGCTGTCTTGTAGCTTCTCTTGTTCAAATGATGCTGGATGCATATTTCAGGACAATTACTGGATTTCAGAGTCTGATACAGAAGGAGTGGGTCATGGCAGGATATCAGTTCCTGGATAGATGCAACCATTTAAAGCGATCAGAGAAAGAGGTAATAAGTCTTAGTACCTCATTAGCCATCTTTAAGTGTAAGATTAAATTTGTGTCATAACATGGATAAGACTTTTTAAAAATACTGCATTTATTACCTCTTAGCTTTCTTAGTGTAACAGTGATTGTATTAGAATCAAATTGTACTTATAAAGGTTATCATAACTAATTAGGTGAAAGTTTTAGAAGCTACCAAGTCAGCTTACCTGAGTTAAAAATTATCTGAAGAATTCTGCATTCTCATGCAAAGCAGTTAAGTACCTTAGATGTTTGCTATAACACTTTTAGAATATTGTATTTCCTTAAAACTGGGACATACGTGTTCAGAACAGAAATTTTGAGAGTGCTGTTTTTGCACTAGTCATGGTTCTGGTTTTCTGCTTTGGATCCATTTTTCAGCCATGGAACACTCTCCTGCCTCTTACCTGGCAGTGCGGTAGCCAGGCCAGTTTCACAGAAGGGTTTCTAACTACAATTGACTTGGGGTAGCACACGTGGAAGACCTGTCTGCAGTTGCTGGAAGAGACACCAGTGGCCTAGAGCCAAATGCCAAACTGTTTTCTGAAACCTGGTAACATTTTCTGGATACTGAGCCTATAGGGTCAACCAGAAGTTATAGAACTGTTTTTTGGTTTTTTGGTTTTTTTTTTTTTTTAATGTTCTAAAGAACTGTTTCCAGAAACAGAAACACATACTTAGCTCTTCTCAATTCATACAGTGACAACTTGCTTGTGTTATGATTTTGCAAGTAAGGGATGTTATATATTTAAGATGTGTTCAGTCTGTTCAATTTCAATTCAGTAATCCCACTGCCTCTCTGTATTTGCCAGTCTCCCTTATTTTTACTCTTCTTGGATGCCACATGGCAGCTGTTAGAACAATACCCAGCAGCCTTTGAGTTTTCTGAGACCTACTTAGCAGTGCTGTATGACAGTACCCGGATCTCACTGTTTGGCACCTTCCTGTTCAACTCTCCTCACCAGCGGGTAAAGCAGAGCACAGTAAGTGATGTGATGGCTGTGGCTACTTGTATTTATTTATTTAAACAACTGAAGTATAACTAACAGCATATTATATGTAATGTCAAATTTTGTTACCACTTCAAGGGTAATTGCTGAACCTTTAAAGACAAAAATGTCTTTTCCATTTCTTTCTTTTTTTTTTTTTTTTTTTTTTTTTGCGGAACTGGGGATTGAACTAAGGCCCTTGTGTTTGTCAAGGAAGTGCTTGTTCCACTGAGCCATCTCCCCGGCCCCACTTTTTCACCTCTATGAATGGACATTTTACATGTTTTTCTAAGTAAGTTGCTCATAGTAAACAAGTCTAAGGATGTAAGTTATGTTAACTGCCTTAAGTGGCATGCTTGTATATTTATATTTTCACATTTAGCTTATTGTTTAATAAAAATGACCCAGTTGGAGGACATTTGTTTCCTACCTGAATAAAATTTGTACAAATCAAGATTATTTTTCTTCAGGAGTTATAGGATAGGAAGTTCATTCTTTCACATTTATTTATTTATTTTTGGTGCCAGGAATCAAAATCAGGGCTTCTCTCTTGGCAGACAGACACCGAGAGGTGGAGGGAGACGTAGTGCCAGGCTGGAGCCCTCTGGAGCTCTCTCGCCTGTGTGTGCAGAACTGAGAGGAACCCAGAACTGGTGCGGTGCCCGTGGGAAGAAACTGAAAGGCAGCTTGTGCAGCCCTTGAGGGAGGCAAGGATGAGGGCCAGTGGCACAGGGAGCTCTGTGGTCTTCAGCCGCGGGGATGGACCCTGGCCTAGGCAGTGTGGCGAGGTGCTGGAAGGGATCCTGAGCTCTGGCCCTGATCTAGAGCACCATGGGCTGCTCCTTCTGCAGAGTCAGCCTGTGCGTGGACTCGATGTCTGGAGGTGGGCCCATCACTGTGCATCAGGCCTGTGGTTTCACTGCACGATGGAAATACTTGGAAGTGTCATACATTGTGCAGATTATCCCAAAAGTGAATTATTCTGGAATGTGAAAGATCAAATGTGTTATTCAGGCTCGTATGGTAGGGAAAGTTTCATTTTTATTTTTATTTTTATTTTTTTTGGCAGAACCAGGGATTGAACTGAGGTGCTTGCGCTTGCCAGGCAAGTGCTGATTCTACTGAGCTATTTCCCCAGCCCGTGGAAAATTTCATGAATGGGGGAAGTATCTCAGAGAAAAGCACCAGGGCCAGGATATAGCTCAGCGGCATAAGTGCCTTCATGGCAAGCACAGTATCCTGAGTTCAATCCCTGGTACCAAAAAGAAGAAAGAACACCACATCTGGGGTTTGAGTGTAGAGGCAGAAACTGGAAATGAGGAAAGGTGGTGCATGGGAGCTGGTTCTGGAACACAGGAGGTGGCGTACTGCTTGGCCTGGCTGCTTTTGGGGAGGCCAGGGCTCCAGGAAACTCAGCCCTGTCAGGCAGGTTTTAGACTGAACAGCTTGGGAAGGAACTTCTTGTAAAATAAGTCTGTTTCCCTAATAGGGTTCATCTTTTCCAAAGCACTAGAGATCAAGATAGGCCCAGACTCCAAAGACCTGAAAGATTTGTTTCTAAAAGCCTTCCCAGTGACTCCGTCTCACTTCCTGCACTGCCATCACTGTGCCTCTCTGTACTGCGCCTCCTTTTGCACACACACAGTGGGCCTGCAGAAGAGACGGCCAGGAAGCCAGGGCTTCATTCAACCACAGGGTCCAGTGAGGGGGTGTGGGCTTTGGGGTCCTGGTGACATGGCCAGAGATCTCTGTGGCTTCCAGAGATGGCCACTGCTCACGGCTGCGTTCTGGATATGCTGAGATGTTGCCCAACAGATTTCTGTTCAGGAATAAAGCAGAGCAAATATTAACAGCACTACATCTGCTTCCCATTTTATGCCCTAGAGCTGTATTTGTCTATTTTAGAAATTGTTTGACAGACACTAACATGCATCCCACCTTCCTCTCCCCCTAGCAGGAATGGGCCTGCTGCAGCCCTCCACATGTGCTGCGCACCAAGGGCAACTTCTCTTCCCATTCTGAGGCCACCTTAGAGCTTAGATGTTAGTGGTACTGCTGGTGGAAAATTTGATTTTCTTTGGAGATAAATGTTTTTAGTTTTACATTTATTAAAAGGTGACTTTTTTATATACTTTGCTAAGGAACATTGAATAGGTTGAGGTTAGATTTTATTAGATTTTACCTTCTAGTCCTTTTAAAGACCAGTTATTTTTATCCATCCATGTTTGATGCATTCTCCGATAACTAAGAAAAATGTTAGGTATATTTAGTGTTTAATGATTTTTTTATTTGAGATAGAAAGTTTTGTAAAACTTTTAAAATGACCTCTGCTGGTCCATAGCTTACACATTTCTCGATGATTCCCAGTCTCCATGTGGCAGCTACCTCTAGCTGTGACACAGCCAGAGCCTCCTGGTTTACTGTTTTGGTTATTAACGTGTATTCTTTTCTCTGTGTGTCTTTCTGTCCCCATCTCCATGTCTGTCTGTCTCTTTCTCTCCCCTCCTCCCTCACTGTCCCTCTTATTTTCAATGAAATTTTTGGTTCTTTATAGAAACTTTGGGGCCAGGGATATAGCTCAGCAGCATAAGTACCTGCCTGGAAAGCACAAGGTCCAGAATTTGATCACTGGTACCACAAAAAAAAAAAAAAAAAAAAAAAAAAAAAAAAGGAAAGAAAAGAAAATTTGGAAAAGACTAAAAGACAGAACAGAAAATAAGGATGAATCATTTGGTACCATCCAGGACTCGTCCTTCAGGGAACTGTTCTGTATAAGCTTGGTATGGCCTGTGTTTGTCACCCTGCCACAAGGAGAGTCCTCTCTGCACGTGACCAAAGGTGACTGTTCATCTGGGTTGGTCTCAGAGCTGCTTCCTGGAGGTGCACTGTGTCATTCTCAAAGGGAGGCCTTGGGTTGCTGCCCTGATGTGCTGTGGTAGAAACCCAGAGTGGGGGCTTCAGCATACCAAGACTGTGCAGCACCACATCAGGGAAGCTGCGCTCCCTGTGATGCCTAAGCAGAGAGCTTGCCGTAGGGTGCCCAGTTTGCCCACTTGTGGGGTAGCCAGCACGCCTCTGGCACATTCCTGGCTCCAGGAGGGGACAGCGCTGCTGTAGTGGGTTTGAGTAGCATGGCTCAGAATGTTGTACTTGCCTGGTGACAGGTGAAAGCTCATCAGAAGAAAGGCATTCACAGGAGAAAGGCTCTAGCTGTTCATTTTTTCATACATGTTCAACTATTTTGTGTTGCAGGAATTTGCTATAAGCAAAAATATCCAGTTGGGTGATGAAAAGGGCTTAAAGTTCCCCTCAGTTTGGGACTGGTCTCTCCAGTTCACAGCAAAGGACTGTACTCTTTTCCACAACCCCTTCTACATTGGAAAGAGCGTGCCCTATGTACAGAATGGCGCTGTGAAGTCTTTTAAGCGCACAAAGGTAAAACAGCAACACACAGTACAAACCTCCTGTTGGCTCACACACAAGCAAACATGGAAGAACCCAGAATATTAAAAATAAAGCCACACCCATAGTAACACTGTGACTCATGTCTTGAAGGATTGTTCCTTTTTTAACTGGGGTGACTCTGTTATGACTTCCTTCTTGGTGTGTGAGGCCTGTTCAGACCTGCATGGGCAGGTCAAGGCTGTGGGCCCAGAGCCCTGATCCCTACAAGCTGCCCACTCTTCATAGCAGCACCAGTCAGGGCTAGGGCTCCCCCTTAATCCAGAAGCCTTCCAGATGTCCATTTGAGCTAACAGATAAGATAGATTCACTTTGGGCATGACAGTCCTCTCAAGAGAGTCCACCCTGAAGAAAGTGACTCCAGGGGAGGAAGATTAGAATAAGCACCACAAGGGAAAGAACAAAAATATTCTGTGAGGCTGAAAGTTGATTTTCCATAAATACTCATTTTATATCTGCCATGGCATTTTTAGTCGTCTTTTTTTTTTTTTGCCAAAAAGAGACACTCCAGGAGGATAATGCTTTGATTTATCTTCTGTGCAGAAGAGCTACAGTTCTACGTTGAGAGGAATGCCATCTTCTTTAAAGAACGGGATCATCAGTGACCACGAGCTGCTTCCAAGGAGAAATTCCCTAATATTAAAGCGAAAGCCAGACCCACTGCACTACACTGACAGCCAGAACAATGAAATGGAACAATATTTTAGAGAGTGGTTTTCCAAACCAGTCGACCTCCATGGTGTGATTCTGCCTCATCTCTCGGGAACACACATAAAGTTGTGGAAACTGTGCTACTTCCGCTGGGTCCCCGAGGCTCAGATCCACCTCGGGGGCTCCATCACTGCCTTCCGCAAGCTCTCCCTGCTGGTGGACGAGGTGGACGTGCTGAGCCGAGCACTGCGGCAGCAGCGCAGCAGCCCCCTGGAGGCCTGCCAGGCCGACCTGGGCCAGAGCAGGATGTACTTCAGAGGCGGAGGCGGAGGCGGAGGCGGAGGCGGAGGCGGAGGCGGAGGCGGAGGCGCGGCGCGCGAAGCTTCCCCGACGCCCGAGTTCCTCTCCTCGTCATTTCCATTTTCTCCTGTGGGCAATCTATGCAGACGAAGCATTCTAGGAACACCATTAAGCAAATTTTTAAGTGGGGCCAAAATATGGATATCTACTGAGACATTAGCAAATGAAGACTAAAATGTTATTTTCTGAACATTTTAAGGGAAGCTATACATTTTTTCCTCTGAATTGAAATTGCTAACTTAGGCATTTAAAAAAATAATTTTATATAGAAGAATAATAGTTGAAGTTTGCACTAATATTTAAAAACATGTTGAATCATGCTGCCTTCACAGGTGTTTTAAGAAAAATGTAGTTTTTGTTTTTACGTCCTCTTCCTGCCCTTAAACTTCTGGCTCGCTGTAGGTGAGTTACAGACACTGCCCCTATTCTTAACACTGTGAGCAAGCTGATTCTACATTTCCTGCCTACTGAAGCTTACCCGGTACTTGACTAGATTGGCAAGCAGAAGGAGACAGCGGGAAGAAGAGCATTTCAGATTGCCTTGCGTGAGGCCACAGCTCACCGCAGTCTGAAATGTGCGTTTGCTTTTAACTTCCTAGGACTGACTACCATGACATGCACTGTAACTTTACAGCATTTGTTGCAGCCGATACAGTTACACTTAGAAGTGCCTCTAACATATAGACACTGAGTAAAAGAAAAATGCAATTTCTCTTTTTAAAATGACAGTATATTGGATTTAGGTTTTTTATTCCAAGCCTCACACTTCTAGCCAGGAGCCTCCAAGGCCACCTTTGTGTCTGTGCATCTCCAAGGATGCAGCAGCTGGTGGGATGCAGCTCCTCCGGGAGGCTCCTGCAGGCTGCAAGGCCCTGCCCGGCCCTGGACAGAGGCAGCCCTCACAGCCCCAGGGCTGCTCGGAGGCCACCAGCTCCCGCCACCATCCCCCCCTGAGTGGCCCTGTGTGCTTGAGGCTTAGTCCTTAGGAGTAGGGGGCATGGTCATACCTCAAACACTACTGTGTCAGAACGAGACAGTGCTCTCGGCACTCCCTTTCCCAGCTTGGAGAGCAAGTTGGAGACAAAAGCACACCGCCGTGTACTCATGGTCTGAAGTACTCCTTAGAACCTGACAGGAAGTTGGCCAGCTTGGCAGGGCCACAGCCGAGGCTCCCCGTGCAGGGGAGCACCAGTGGCGTTGATGCCATCCCTCTCCAAGTGCACACACACCCAGTTAACTAATTTCTTAAACTGCCATCTGAAGATTCCGAACATTTCTATATCTAATTAGCTTATTTCCTTTTCTACAGTAAATTTTTTCAAGATGGTATATTTTGCCTTTATATGTGCTGAGTAGTTGTTTCTACTTAATTATTTGCCTTTTAGAGATGTTTAATGTTTCTGGATTTAGTGGAGGTTCTTACAGTGTCTTATGAAATTCATCTGATGGATAAACACAAATGGTTTTGCCAGCTCATTGCCTAGAAAATGACTATTTTAGTTCATACGAATGGCATTATTGTCACTGAAACTTTTATAGTCTTGATTGGAAACCAGCCCTGATTGCCTTAAAACAACACAATTCTTGCCACTGAAAGTGTAATTTTCCTTTTTTAAGATGCCTTTTTATTACTGCACATGTTTCTAAGTTTAGTTTTTGGATTTACCATTTCTGTGTAATTTTCTTCCCTCACACTATTTCAGTTCCTTTTTATAATTTTTTGTGAATATACAAATTTTAAAAAGATTAGGTACTATTAATACTGCCTTAAAATAGAAGACATGCTTATTTTTGTATGATAACCAAATGTTAAATATGGGAGTTTTGTTATTGTTGAATAGTTGTTTCCTAATGATTCTTGTGCCAGTTTGTTGTGCAGAGTATAAGCAACAACTTTACCAGCCTTAAGTCTGGCTCCCTGTAAAGCTGCGTGGCTCTCTTGTAAGCAAAGTGACGCTGCGGTGGAGCGAAGCGTCACTGTGGCCGCAGTTTCCGAAGGAGCTCGACATCTTCCCCTGCAGGCTCATAGACGGGCCCGCACCTGGTGCGGTCCAGGCCAAGACCAGATGGCATCGAACTTAGCACACACAGGGTCTTACTCTTTATGATGAGAATCAATTTTAAAACCAAAAATGCCTAACTTTAAGAAAAGGATATTAACTTGTACTAACAGGTCAAAACCGTTCATCAAAATCTGTTTGCTTTATCAGTAAATTCAAGCAGTTAAAACTTGAGAGAACAAAAACCTTTGTGCCTAAAGCTGATGAGGTGAAGTAGAAGGAGCGGGAGATAAAGGTCTTGTTTAACAGAATGAATGTGAAGGAAATTCTGACTGTTAAATAAATTTCCACAGAAACTGTTTGTGGCACATTATCAGTATGAAACTCTCTCCTCAAGCATGGTGCTTGAACACTCCGAGGCTTCCTCTCATCCCTATCTGATTGTCGCCTGTGCAGTCCAGTGATCGGTGCAGGGTGGGCTCAGTCCCAGGGCTCCACAAGCCTACGTCCTGGGCCTCCGCCCAGGTGTCTTCTTAGCAACGCCTCCCAGCCTCAGACCCTTCCAGCCATGGTGATGGGTGGTCCTGTTTCAGTACACCACGGACACACAAAAATTACTCCTACATTCATTAGTAAAAGATGCCTCAGAGAAGGCTGCTGAAGGACAACTAACTGCATAAAGACTGCGTGCGTTTGGTGTTCTAGCCCCAGCTGCTGAGAGTAAGCACTCACAGACGTCATAAGTTAAGCTTCTTCACAAGAGCTTGGTTTTTAATTCTAAAGAAATCAGAATTTCCACTCTGCTTTTCTTGGAAAATCACAAAATAAGTATTTATGGGTACGTGTGTAAAATGGAGCAGAAAAATCTAAATTTGAGAATCTTTGCGGGTCTGCACCTCTGGTAGAGGGCTAGCCTAGCACATGCAAGGTGCTGAGTTTGTCCTCAGAAAAAGTTTTGTCTCCAAAATACATATTAAAAATGTTATTTATGCTATTTTTGTAATAAAAGTCCTAAAGCTGTGAATCATCTTGATTTTAATTTTTTCCCTTTTTTCCAGCCTTTTCAAATGTAATGCAATGGCACAGGTACATTCAGCCCCTAAAACAGCCACTAAGATTTTCTTTAAATGAAGTTTATTATGCATTGTGCAATCAGCCAGTATATTCAAGCAGATACCAAGTTTTGTGAGGCACTCACACTGTGTAATGAGTCATTAAGTTATCTGACCATCAAAAATACAATCTAATACTACCCTATACTTTCACAAATCATGTACCCCACACGCCCAATGGCCATCTCATCGCCCTTAGCTGCGGCCTGTGCGCCTGGCTCCCACCGCAGCCACATGGCAGACCTCTACATCGGCCCCCAGCTTCTGCAGCTCATCCAGCCAGATCATCTGCTTAGGGGAAAGGCGATCACTGGGGCCTTTCACTTCCACCAGCTGAAAGATAAATTTGAAAGATCAGCATCTTACTGCAACTGAATAGTTAAATAAGCTACAGTCATTTTCACAGATTACAGACATTTAAATGTTTGTTCACTACACCACTGTATGTATTAAACATATATACAGGTAAGAAACACATTTTTCTAATCTCTGGGCTAGTTTTCAGTTTTTCATAGAGAACTAGTAAATCGATTCTTAATATAGCAACTGAAAAATGTTCCAGAGCATGCACTGGATTGTTGCTCCTGCTTAAAACCCGACAATTACTTTCTTACATCTATAATTAAGTCTAAATTTATGCCCAGGAATAGGAACCACCACCAGATGATTATTGCAAAGGCCTCTTCCAGACCATGTCTTTCCTGCCCAAGGCCCTGCGTGCTGCTATCCCTGCCCAGGACGCCCCATTCCGCACACGGCTGACTCGTCTCCTAGGGATGTACACATCCATCTCGGGTCGGCTGTGTGTCTAAGGAGGGGCATCTGTGCACTTCTCTTACGGCACTAATCATAAAATCATTACATATCAGCTCCCTAAAGGCAATAACTTTCAGTTCTGTTCAGTGTACACTGATGAACTGAGATGGCAATAAAAACAATCACAGGTGAAGTACAGAAAATAAACATCGTTTAAATATAGTCTTGGGCAAACTGGTGCCGCGGGGGGAGGCATGAAGACAGCGGAGTCCAGAGCCAACAGCCAAGCACGTCTGTGGCTACGAGGATGCCTTTGCCGCCAATTCCGTCTGCCCTTCTTCCACCTAGATTTTTCCACCTTAATTTGGTTCTCAACATGCCTCTTCTTACTTCATTCATGCTTGTTATTATACAAATAAAGGTTTCCTTGCCACACACAAAAAAGAAATGTAAACTATATAATTGGCATTACAGGGAATATCCTAAAAGCCAGAATTTTTTAAAGTCAGAGGAATAAAAGATAACTGTCTCTGGAAACAGTGAAGGAACATTTTGGAGTTTAAAAGAAAGAACTGTTAAAACTGAACTCTGTCAAGAGAAAGTATCTTTCAAGATAAAAGCAAACAAAGACTTGTAAAGTATATACAAACCCTAAATATTATGACCAGTAGACCTCCGCCTCAAGAAAAGTTAAAGGACAGTCTTCTAGTGGAATAGTACCACTTGGGAATCTGGGCATGTACAAAGAAATAGCAAGCTCTAGAACTGACACTGATGGAAGTAGACTTGCTAACTGAGAAAGTTGTAATATAGAATTTATAATATGTACACATAAATTTATGAAAACACTAAAGCTGGGGGGAGACCAGCACAAGCTGTTGAAAAGTTATTTACACTAAATGTGTTTACACTATACAACTAATGCAAACACTTAAACATAGCACAGAGTTACAGCTAAGAAGCCAAAAGTGATTTAAAAGTGTAGTCTTTAAAAAGGATAAGGAAGAAAAAAGATACACAGAAAACAGGTGTTCAAAATTCAAAAGCAAACATTTCACTAATAACACTAAAGGTAGATGTTCCAAGCATTCTGGTAAAAAGCCAAAGGTTAAACTGGATTTAAAAGTAAGACCCAACTACACACTGCCTGTGGGAAACTCACATAAAGACAAAATAGGATAAAAGGGAAAATGGAAAAAGATGTGTCACGTTAACTAACACTGACGAAAAGCTGGAGTGGTTACATGTTAACATCAAAGTTAATTTCAGAACAAAGACATTAGAAAGAAAGGATTTTTATAATAAAGCACTGCTCCATCAAGAGGATAAGACAGTCACAGCAGTCTAAGCCTTTAATGGCAGAACTCCAAATGCATGAAGCAAATACCAAGAGACGCATGAAGCAAGCAAGTCCATGTGTACAGTCAGAGACATCAATCTCTTTTAATAGTTTATAAAACAAATCAAGTAACAATAAAGATGTAAAGTACTACAGACCAAATAACGTGACATTTTAAATTACTACTTCCAATAAAACCCAAATACTTTTTTTTTCAAGTCCAAACATTCAACCATATTCTGGAGTATAAGTCTCAATATAATAGGGCTCAAATATGTAAAGTATGTCTTCTGATATTAACAGAATTAAATTACAAATCAGCCAAATTACATGGGAACAGGTGTTCGGGGTGCGGAAACTGAGTGACTCGCTTGTAAAAGGGAAATGAGAAAAGATGTGAGCCTTTTTTCTTTATTTTGGCACGGCTGGGGATTGAACCCAGGACTCTGCATGTGCTAGCCAAGTGCTGTGTGTCACTACATCAAATCCTCAGGGCCCAAAACTATTCTGAACTGAATAAAACTGGAAACAACATGGGCCGGGGCGACAGTTCGGCGGCATAAGCACCTGCCTGGCAAGTGCAAGGCCCCAAGTTTGATCCCTGGTACTACAAAAAAACAAAAACGAAAAACACCAGACATGTGAGACTAGGGTAAAGATCTTCCACCAGACTGGCTTTTGAAAACAACACAGATTACCAATATCAAGAATAACAGTATAATAGATATTCAAGAACATGCTTAAGATGGTTAAATTCCTCAAAAAGATATAAACTCCCAAAGCTCACTCAAGAAGCAGCAGGTATGGGGCCAGCCTGATAGGTGAGCAGATGAAAGTGCCTGCTTAGGCAGAGCGCAGTGGCTGGCCCGGCCCAGGGCAGGCTGAGATGCTGAGACTGGAAATGGTGGCATGCCTGTAACCCCAGCACCTGGGAAGCTGAAGACAGGAGCATCACTACAAGTCCCTTCTCCACAGTGAGACCCTGGACTACATCCCAAAAAAAGGGAAGTGGATGCAGCACAAATACTCATTTATGTGCGCCTGTGATTATTACTCTGTAACCTCTAGGCCCTGTGGACGCGTCAGAAGTGTGTCTGTCGTGTGCACGTCTACTCTGTTCCATGTTTCCATTGTGCTGTTTTGGGCATTGTCACTGGTCTCAGCTGTAGACTGCAGTGTGAACAGTGATTATGTCCACTTACTGGGAACTTTTTCATTAATAAATGCTATTTTATGATAAAAAAGATTCAAAAACCAGTGAATGTAAGCACAGTAATTTAAAGGAAAAAACACAAAATGACAACATAGATTTTGTTAAAAAGCATTTGAAAAAATCCAGTATCGATTCCTGATTTTCAAATACTCTCAGAAAACACAGAAACAAAGACCAACTAGACAAAAGGTACCTGTAAGTCAGGCGCAGCTAAGAGGAAACTCAATAATGAGAGTACAAAGAGCTCGGGCCAAGCGCGAGCGAGCCCGGATGCCCAGCCCCACCCGAGTGCCCTCGGCCTGGAGGCTCCAGCCGCGCAGTCAGGCCAAGAGCAGCACCGCACCAAGACGGGAGGGCTGAGCAGAGAATCTGCCTGCCAGTGCGCAAGGCCCCACGAAATCCGAGTAGCAAAGGTCCTTCCACTAGTACGTCAGCACACAAACTAATCAGTGGAAAAGAAGCAATTCACACAACATGCAACGGCAATCCGGCAAAGAAAGCAGTCTATATAACGCGTGCTAGAACAAGTGGATTGCCACGTGCAAGTCACTGCCCTTCCATCCACGCCACACACTACATATAAAAAGCACTCTAAAATGGATCACAAGTACTAAATGTAAAATCTAGAACTATACAACTTCTAGAAGAAATCAGGAACTCCTTATGACTGGAGATTAGTGAAGTTGTTTATGCATTTGTTGGGGTTTTGCTATTATTTTTGCAGTACTAGGGACTGAAGCTGGGACCTCTACACTGAGCTACATCCCCATTCTTATTTCTTAGTTTGAGACTATCCCTAAGTTGCTTATTTGAGTATTTCTTGTATCTGATACCAAAAGTATAATCTACTGAAGAATAAATAAGTTACAGAAGTTGAACTTTTCAAAATTTTAAATTTCTGCTATTCAAAAGATACTATATTAAAAAGTGAAAACAGAAGCCAGATTGGGCTGAAACAGAACCAGTGAAGGGCCTTGTATTCAGTACACATGGGTGCATTCTGCACCTCAAACCTCAATAATAACAGCGAGCCAGTGAAATGCAATGCTGGGTACTGGTGGGCTGGGTGAGGTACCCCAGGCAACAGCGGAGGTGCTCTCTTTCAGGGAGCCTCTAAATTGTCCTTGAGTGCCTGTACCTGGTGGCGGGTGCTGACAAGAGACAGACACAGACCACCACGCCTTCTGCCTTGCACACTGTTCCTATCACTCCCCAGCTCCAGCGAAAGCCGCATGGCCACGGGGAGGCTCTGGAAACCCCAGCCCCCAGCCTGTGGCTCTCAAGCGAGTCAAGCTGGCCAGCAGCGACCATGAAATGCCTAGCGTGGCCTCCAAGCCCATTGCAATGCAATTACAAATGTGACTGTCCATTCTGGTCAACTGACCTTGACGTGACGGCTGTGCGAGCTCCACACGACCAAGTCAGGGAGGCCCCCTCGGCAGTGTCGCAGGTCAGCAGCCAGGCGCCGGCACACACCACTGAGGACAGGACCTCCCAGGCAGGAGACGAGATCCTGAACACAAACACAGAGAGTGGGCGCCTCCCTGAGCGGGACCTGAGAGGCCCCACAGCCACGAGGCAGAAAACAGCTCTGGTGCCTTCAGCAGAAGAGTCCAGCAGTGCACTGGGGGTTATTGTGGTGCTTATCCGGCTAACAGCCCCACTGGCAAGAGACAGGAAACCAGTTCTCCTCCCCGGTTACTGGGACTCTGCCCAAGGTGGACATTCCGGGAAGTGAGGAAGGCGGGCTGGACTGCGATGACTCCCTCCCAGAAGCCAGCACTTGCAGGACGCAGGGGTAGAGGACTTTTCCCTGCAGAGCCACTGGCCACACAAAAGCGCCATCAAATCGGGGGAAAAGGCCTAACTGTGGGGCCTTTATTTTTCGTATTTTAGGGAAGGGTCTACAGGGCGTTCAGGGTCTCACTACTGGGTCGGACTTGCAGTCATTTTCCTGTTCACAGCCTGCAAATGCTGGGATTACAGGTGCGTGCCACCATGCCCAGTCTCAATCATTGTCTCGGCACTCCCCAGGGACAGGGCTGGCACGGCAGGCCTGGGGATAGAACACCTGGTCCCTCACCTGCTTGCAGGCGCTATAATCTGCTGAGCTATTTGGGCAGCTGTGGGGCCTTTTTAAATACTGACGTTTGTCTCGGTGACACCGGACCTGGGGGCTGGGGTATCACACACACACGCATCAACATGTACACACTCCAATGTCTGTCTACACACACCTACAGCTAACCCTCATGCAGCTGCCAAAGACACCCAACAGCAGGAGCCATCTCCTTCTACTAGATCTTGCCACACAAGGGAGCTGTGTTACCTGAGCTTGCTGAAGAGAGGTGAAGAGATCCCAGCTGATGAGGGAAGACGCTCGGCCCTCCTGGGCCTGCCACGTGGCGGCCACCCAGGCCTGCAGGCTCTCTGCAGAGGCACTGTGAATCAGCTGCAACCTGGCCTCAAGCACTGGCCTCCTGCTACTGAAGAAGCTGTCCGTGCACAAGTCCAGCGGGGACGCCTGTCACAGGAAAGCAAGCTGTCACAGCATGTGTGGAGAGTGCACCCAGCAGGGAGCACTCCGTGCCTGCGCATTTGAAAAGTGGTCAATCTGTGACACTTCCTCTTGAAAGCTATGGAAGGGTTATCTCACACAGGTAAGGGGCTATCAAGGTAATTTATTATTCTACATTTTTAGAGCAATAGTTTACAAAGGGAGCTTTCACATTATAGCAGCAGAGCTTGCCACCAGCCCAGTGACTGCCTGGGACAGCCCTCCGGCTGCTGCCTGGGTCACAACAGGTGCTCAGAAAAGGCTGCAGCTAAAGTGATTCTGTGGTTGGGGCCGGGGAGATGGCTCAGTGGAATAAGCGCTTCCCTGGCAAGCGCAAGGGTCTGAGTTCAATTCCCGGTTCTGCCAAAAAAAAAGTAAAGTGATTCTGTGGTGAAGGTTTAAAATGTACTGTTGGGGGCTGGTGAGATGGCTCAGTGGTCTAAAGCACCTACTTAGAACAAGCTAAGCTCAAGCAAAGCACAGAGGTTCAATCCCCCAGCACCACATGCTGGCCCGCCCGCCCCCTGGTGGGCTGAGCTGGCCACACACTAAATAAATAAATAAATAAATAAATAAATAAATAAATAAATAAATAAATAAAATGTACTGTTGAAGGTGACCTAGACAAAGTTTAAAATTTAACATATATAAGTTTCAAACTGCATTAACTGGATTTTAAAAAGGAAAATTATTTAGAGGGAATTAGCACCACACGGTGTGCATGACCTCAGGACTACGACAGGAGCCAGGCTCTGCCGAGTCACATGTGCAGGGGGCGCCCAGTAGGGCGGTGTAGTGGCTCACATTGTGTCAACTTGAGACACTAAAAGCTTAACTAAATCCACTCAACAATTCTGCCCCTAGGCCGTGTGAGGCCCCTCCCTAGGGCACGGAGGGCCCACTCTAGAGTGACTGCACGAAGAGGATGTAAAAGGGAACTGAGAAAGGGTGTAGCCTGCCCCTTCCCTGGAGGAGCTCCAGTCTTTGCAGCCAGCAGGGAAGGGAGAGAGGCTGGCTAGAAGCTGCGGCTGCATCTCCTCCCTTTGCTCTTCGCTGTTTTCTGCCGCCATGAACAGCGGCCCTCTGCCATGTGCTGCTCTGCCTCAGAGCCAGCTGAGTATGGACTAACACCTCCACTAACTGTGAGCTAAATAAACCTTTCGTTTCTTCATTTTGGGTGTTGGGTATTTTGTCCTAGCAACAGGAGAAAAGTAATCAAGATAGGCAGGGGGCTCTGCACAACCTGGTAGGCGTTTCTGAAGACATCAGGGATGCCATCCATGAAGATCACATCCCACAAGAGGAGGCCGCATAGTGTGCTGAAGGTAGACCCTTCCCCGTGGATACCTGAGGCAAAAGCAACATGAGGGAAAGGCAGTTTTAGTTCTTCTTTCAAAATGCAACTCTGTCCCACCGTGTACTCATTTTCAAGGAGATAACGGAAACACTCCACTTCCAGAGCAAAAGCTACTCTCATGCCACTTCCAGCTCCCTGCTTAACACCATGGTATTTGCACACAGAAGCCTCAGTGAAAGATAAATCACCCTAGAAAAATTGTTTTAAAAGTTTTTGGTACCAGAGATCAAATCCAGAGCCTTCACAATAAACTACATCTCCAGCCCCTTTTTCTTTTTTTTAAATTTTGAGATAGTCTGGCTAAATTGTCCAGGTGAGGCTTGAATTTGAGATCCTCCTGCCCGAGCCTCGCAGACTGCTGGAATTAGAGACATATGCCATCACGCCCAGCTTCAAACTACAAACCAGAGGTTCTCAAACTTCAATGAATAACCTAAGGAACATTCTTTCTTTAAAAATGGCTTCCTCCTGAGGTCCATAAGCTTCACCCTGGAGGAAATGGCTCCCCATGGGGAAGGACGCGAAGAGTGCAAGCGGCGCCTGGCCGCCTCCTGACCTCCCGCCACTGCTCCAGGGCAGCTCATTGCCCGTGCATTGCACTGCTTTGGCCTCAACAGGTAACCCCAGCACTTCTCAGCCTTCATGTCCATCTAGTTCCAATGTCCCTCCTCACCTCACACACACCCCTTACTGCCTGGCAGACAACCTCAGAGAGAAAGTCTAGGTCCTGAGGTCGCCAAGAGACAGGTAGAATCTAGAAGGGATGAAGGGCATCCCCAGTCGGGCCCGCTGCCCTAGTTGCCTTCTCCAATTTAGGCCTCTGTGCACACCACACACCCGACCATGTAGGCCCCACACCCAGTGGCAGCAGCTTAGCAAGGCAACACCCAATGGTCCCACCCCGTGTGAGGCCACAAGAAGCACAGGGAGACAGCAGACCCTAGGCAGCGTAGTGTACCTGCCCAGGAGCCAGGCCCACAGGGCTTGGTGCTCACCATGTCCTCAGCGTAAAGTCACTCAGGAAAGGACTTGGGCTCTGGCAACTCAGGTCCTGAGCTGTCCTGGGCTGCCTGTTCTGTCCCCCTCTCAGTTCCTGCCTCAGGACCCCACAGCCTGTCTCCATGATTGAAAAGGACAGAGTGGGCACAAGAGGATTTGCTGGGGCCCCTGGCGGAAGCCAAGTCCTGCCGTTTTCCTAGCAAGTGCTGGGCCAGGAGCTCAGGTCTTGGCCAGCCAGAAAGCTGGGGTCAGAGTTACTCCAGGCTCCTGTCCTGTGCACACTCTGCACTGGACTCTACCTGAAGTCCTATCTGGTGTGGGCCTTGGAGAAATCCCCTTCCCTGAACAGGCTGGAGGTTGCCCTTCCATCGCGTCCTCTCAGGAATAAAGCCTGGCAGCAAGTATTTGGCTCATTTTCATTACATGCATTTCATAGATAAAAATGCTTTACATTCACAGTTTCTGATCCTCTGACGACGAACTATCAAGCCGCTTTGGAGGCTTCTGGCCAGGCGGAAGCACTTCAGCCGGCGCATTCCCAGGCCGCTCCTCCTCGGCGAGGTACAGTTTTACGTCTGTGACGTCATCTAAGGGCCCAGATTCCCACTCACTCCTCGGTCGCTCACAATTTCAGGTCGACCGCCTCCGTCTTCCCCAGGTCTGCGCTTCCTCCCAGCACACCGCTTTTCCCTACAAGTAACCACAACACTGCACTACACAGAGGACGCCTACCACTCAGCAGAAAGAAACCTACGCTGGGTAACCCCAGCTTGCAGCTCTCCTCTCTTCTCCAAATTCAGCTGAAAGCTCGTCTAGTGTTGAAATGAGACTGTGCCCAGTGTTCACCAATCTAAGGACAGAAGAGAGCACCTAACCCTCGTGGCCCGCAGCAGAGGCACGAAGAGTGTCCTGTCTGAATGTGGGCACAGCAGGCCTCGCTGGCTGTCCCTGGAAACAAGCCATGTGAACTGCTCAGCGGGTACCACGGTGACGTCTAGTCTGTCTCTGAACGCCAGGAGTAAGGGTGAGCCGGAGGTCTGTAGCTTGGCACACGATCCTCCACTTGTGTAGTCATGGTCAGTGTCCTCCATGACAGAAGGTGTGGTCCAAAGAAAAAAGGTTAAAGCCAGGCCCTGAGCGTATCTACTGGACAACCGGGCCTGCTCTAACCTGTCTCTGATACACAGAAAGCTTCCTCTCAGTCTTTCCTTCTGTGGTTTACTTCTACTTTTCAACTTACCACTAGGTTTTCACAAGGCCCAATTTCACCTTACCAACTATAAGACAAGGGCTTGATGTTTTCTCTTGATCCCAGGCCTTGAAGCACAGGACTTACTAGTCACTCTCAGACTAAAATCCAAGAAAACTAAAAGGGGAAGAGAGGCTGATGCTTATGAATACACAAAAGCAGAGTTTCCAGTTTACATAAGCGATGTGTTCATTATTTTTTTCAGAAAAACAGAATTCCTGGCTGCTACGATGTAACGAGAATTACCACGGAGGTGAGAGACACCACAGCGGACTTGGTTCTGAGACACCACATCACAGCCCTGTGCAACCGCTTCCAGCTGCCCGCCCCCACACCTGTGCCGAGAACAAAGCTGAGAGGGGTCGTGGCGCTTCACTGTTGCCGCCTGGCACAGAAGGCCCCAAGCAGCTGCGCTGAGAACGCAGGGGGAGCCAAGCACATCTGAAACTCACAGACGCACCTCTGCTCCGGTGTTCTCACACAGCCAGTCCCAGCTCCTCAGGGTCTCCGCCACAGAGGTGCACCTCGCTCAGACCTGCTCTGCCTGTAGCTAAGTGCTTACCAGCCGCAGGTCCCTGTGGGAGATACAGATCCCACCCTCAGGGGCCCTCTAGGGACAGCACCTAGGGGGAGAACAGGTGGGAAGGCCGGGGGAAAGGCTCGGAGGAAACTCGGGGCCAGGACTGCAGGTGCAGGCTCCCATGGCTGCGTGCTGCTCCCTGTTGTGGGCCAGTGGAGGTCTTCTAGGTCCTCTGGGGTTCCACAACATGTCACGCACTTCTGCTTCCTGCACACTCACACCACCGGGCAGGCCCAGGCCTTTCTACAGCTCCAACTTCTGCCTGCAACAGGCTGCCAGGCTATGGTCCCACACGCACGCACACACCCACTGCCAAGTGCACATATGTGCGTGCACACACGTACACACCCACACAACCCACTGCGAAGTGCACATATGCATGCGCGTGTAGACACATGCACACCCACTGCCAAATGCACCTATGCGTGCACACACACACGTACTCCCACTGCCAAGTGCACCTATGCATGTGTGCACACACAAGCACACCCACTGCCAAGTGCACCTATGCGTGCGCATGTAGACACATGCACACCCACTGCCAAGTGCCCTGTGTGCACACACACACGCACGCCCACTGCCAAGTGCACCTATGTGTGCACACACACATGCAGGCCCACTGCCAAGTGCACCTATATGTGTGCATGCACACACGCACACCCACTGCCAAGTGCACCTATGCATGCGCACACACACACGCACACCCACTGCCAAGTGCACCTATGTGTGCACACACACACACATGCACTCCCACTGCCAAGTGCATGTATGCGTGTGTCCACACACACACGCACACCCACTGCCAAGTGCACCTATGCATGCGCACACACACACATGCACTCCCACTGCCAAGTGCACGTATGCGTGCACACACATACACACCCACTGCCAAGTGCACCTATGTGTGCACACACACA